ATTTATGTAATGTATAATCACATGTAACATATAATCACATGTAAACATGCAACATATTATCACATGTACAAATGTATGTAATGAATGGTCATGGATCTACTTTAGTTTTACTGTTCTACAACAACCTGCGGCGACAGCTGTAAATCCTGCACCAACAGGAACAAAGCATCTCTCCTTTTGGCTAATGTTGTTTGTACACTTTCCTTTTCAAAACAAAAATCCTCCTAAACCATTCATACCATGAAGCCTGGCCACATAATTACCATAAACCTGGCCAGGACCACCTGATGGCCGTTAACACGCACATATAAGTGATTACATACGTGTGTGTCCTGATGTCATGTCTCGTATTTCTGGGGTAAAAATTATCTCATCTCTGGCGCGCCCATTAGCTACGTGCCGGACCCCCCAGGGGCAGGTCCACCCCCATTAAACTGCTTAGTAAACTGGCATTAAGCAAGTTTCATTTGAGGGAAGACAAAAACCTGCATCAATACCCGATACACGCGGCGCTTAAGTGCCAAGAACCAGCCCGGAGTGGGTCAGTGACGCACACGGGTCCCCTTTAAACACCGGGTCTACAGTAACAGACACACACCCCGAGCAGGTGACAACAACACACAACAATAGAACAGTGTGGGCTCAAGATTAGGTTACACATAATCCACACTGAGCTCCAAAGACGCACAATCGTCTCAGCCCCGTCATTACTCCTGCTTCAGTGTCTGCTCAGCTGCTTTCACAAAGGTCAGACAAGTGGGAAGATACACACAGATGTTTATAGTAGCAATATGGAAGATTTTCATCTAAAGTCATCATTAAAGGGCCTTAATCTGTCATTAAAGGGCCCTAATCTGTCATCATTAAAGGGCCCTAATCTGTCATTAAATGGCCCTAATCTGTCATCATTAAATGGCCCTAATCTGTCATCATTAAAGGGCCCTAATCTGTCATCAATAAAGGGCCCTAATCTGTCCAATTTTTTTTTTACTGATAACCGTAGTTCAGAGATATTTGGATCTCTCAATTAGGCGTAGGTTTCCTCCGGGTACTCCGGTTTCCCCTACCACTAAAAACATGTACAATAGGTCTGTGCCTCCTGTACTGGCGATGCCCACCATTGTAAACACTTTGTGACTCTGGTCTGTGAAAGGCGCTATATAAATATACATTATACATTACTTACTTAAATTACTTTTCCAGCCCCTAAATCTTGTTATTGTTTTCATTTTGATGTCCCGCCCTCCACTGTTTCACCAATCAGAAAGTCTGTGGTCCGGGCGCCAGAGCTCACCGCGTGGAGCTAATCTCACTGGTAAAGTACCATGTGGCGCAGAACTATAAAAGGTCTCGTTATGATTCTCAAATCATTAACGACAAAACAAGGAATAAAAGCAGGATTTCTATCTTTGTGAAAAAGGTGTTGGTTATAGATTTGTTGTTGACAAAACTCTTGTCTATTCAGCTGTTATGGTCCCAGCTGGATTCGTCTGCATATCTGGCAACCTGAGTCAGGGAGAGTGGGAGAGGCTGCAGTACCACTTTTGGCCACACGTTTACAGACTGCTCCTTTAATTCTCTCTGATATGCCAATTCAAAGGTTTTGTAAAGTCCTACTGTTGGGATTTAGGGCAAAACCAAAATAAATGGAATGGAAAAGTATTAAAAGTGTTCAGATCCATGAGTGAAGCGTCGACATATGTTCGAGGACCATAAGTATTGAACCATGTGCTGCTCTGTGTCCTCAGGGTCACAGCCCGTGATCCTGAACAATAGTCTCTTTGTGCGTGTCTTTGTGCGTCTCTTTGTGCGTCCCCGAAGTGCAGCGTCGTGCAGGTTGGTGGACCTGGGACTCCTGAAAGGGGCACAGACCCAAGAATGTCCATTAAGACCTGTCCTGCGGCCCGGCCCACTTTCATGTGGCACTATTGTTACAGCGCCGGCCCCCAGAGAGCGGGTAATGAGGGTAATTGGTCCAGGGTCAAGGATGATTAAGTCCCTCGTCAGGTGTCGCCTCCGTCATACCTGAGTCTGGAGCCAGAGGTGGACCAGGCTTTATCCCGGTGAAGGCGAGACCAATTCCAAGCACAAACTCTGATGTGCAATACCACTTTCATTTACTCATCGGTGCAATAATCATTTGAATAATGTCAGAATGTGTCATTTAGAACCACATATAAGAATATATGTGGATATGTGATATATTATATAAATGTGAATATATTCTTTATTATGCTAAAGCTAGATGTTATACTAGCTTCTTTATTATGCTAAAGCCAGATTTTATACTAGCTTCTTTATTATGCTGAAGCTAGAGATTTTATACTAGCTTCGTTATTATGCTAAAGCTAGATTTTATACTAGCTTCTTTATTATGCTAAAGCTAGATTTTATACTAGCTTCTTTATTATGCTAAAGCTAGAGATTTTATACTAGCTTCTTTATTATGCTAAAGCTAGAGATTTTATACTAGTTTCTTTATTATGCTAAAGCTAGATTTTATACTAGCTTCTTTATTATTCTAAAGCTAGATTTTATATGCTCTTGTGTTAAAGTGCTAATAGTTCATGGATAAAAAAAGTGATGATTTAAAACAGAATGAGCAAGACTTTAACTGTCACGGTGAACTTTGAGCTATGTCTTTACCTTGTATGGTGTCTCCTTCCTGCTGTGCCTCACCTGGTGTCTCCTTCCTGCAGTGACTCACCTGGTGTCTCCTTCCTGCTGTGACTCACCTGGTGTATCTTTCCTGCTTGTTTTTTATTCTGATTATTTGTGTTTTTCTGTTACCCTGGATCAGGCAACTCCCATCAGACCTTTGAAGTTAAGCAGGGAAGGGCCCGGTTAGTACTGCAGTGGGAGACCTCTTGCAACACCAGGTGACACAGTGGGGCGGCTGCGAATTGCCAAACTGTGGTTGTGTGTTTAGGCAAGACACTTCCCCCACATTAGAATGAGTCTGTGTGTGTGTGTGAATGGTTGGTGGTGGTGGGAGGGGCTTCTGTCAGGGTGCCCCAGGGCAGCTGTGGCTACAGTAGTAGTTTATCACCACCATATATGGAGTGAATGAATGATGCTGTGATTGTATTACGCATTATTTCTGGTGTCTCTCTGGACTCTCTCCGGTCTCTCTCGCCGGTCTCTAAGTGTCCAAAAAAGTGAAATATAAAACCAGTCCAGACTTTATTTTCAGGCCCATATGACAAAGGCTTTTGTTTTTGAGTCTTCTGTAAAATCTGCCAGAACCTGCAGAATCCTGGTCCACATTATGACATATACTGAACCAAGATATGTTTGAAAGGTCAGAGCCGGCCACTCCCTCACAGAAACCTGGCCCGGGCTCCACACCTTCCTTCAGCTCCACTGACTAATCTGAATACTATCAATCCTTTCACTTGAAACATGCAATTTTGGACACTGATTATTTTACGGCGGCTGTCTGTGTGGCTGTGTGTGCGACAGTATAAATGCACGGGTTGCTGGTAATTGGCCCGGCGCAGACCGAGACGCCTGCCGTGTAATTGAGCGGAGGTCAGAGGGGCTCTTGTGGGACTGAAAGGGTCCGAGGAGCGCTCCTAACCCATTAGACCCGGCGGGGGGTCCACGTGCGGACTTCAGGCTTATACAGCACTGACACCTTTCAGGGGGGGGGGTCTGCAGCTGCTCTGAGTGAGGGTGATAGTTGAGGCTTTTTCTTCAGATTACTGAGATTTTAAAGAAGAAATATTCTGGTCTCTCTCTGGTCTCTCTCTGGTCTCTCTCTGGTCTCTCTCTGGTCTCTCTCTGGTCTCTCTCTGGTCTCTCTCTGGTCTCTCTCTGGTCTCTCTCTGGTCTCTCTCTGGTCTCTCTCTGGTCTCTCTCTGGTCTCTCTCTGGTCTCTCTCTGGTCTCTCTCTGGTCTCTCTCTGGTCTCTCTCTGGTCTCTCTCTGGTCTCTCTCTGGTCTCTCTCTGGTCTCTCTCTGGTCTCTCTCTGGTCTCTCTCTGGTCTCTCTCTGGTCTTGGTTGATTTCACAGTGATATTTGTTTCTTGTTCTTTATATTACATTTTACACACTTGGGACCTTTGCAAAACTATTCCAATGTGGTATTGCTGCAAATGGCAAATTCAATCCAAACTCTGAGTCTTGTGTGGACAGATTTTGAAAATGGAGCTCTAAATACTCAGAGAAATAGAATCATATTTGATCCAACGTCAGTCGCCGTCTCATTGTCCGGGTTCTCAGGCGCTGCCGGGTCTTTGTGGCGGCGGCTGAAGCACATACGTGACCAATTGCTTTTCCTTCCGTCTGACTTGTGCCGTTTGAGCTCAAAATGGCGGCGTTACTTATGCTTCGGTGGTTACCAGCACGGCGCCACCTTTACTTTTGCCTGCGCCCGGCTCCAGCTCGGCATGATCCCGGCTTTGTGCTTCAGAAAATATGGTTATAATGACGTCAACCCTAATTTACAAAATTTGTTTTATTATGTAAAGCAACACAGGAAGCACAACAATAACTTCATCATTGTCATTTTAAACATTTTAAACTGTGACATCACAGAGCTTTGACCCTTATCCTTCAGTGCAGCGGACCCTCGTTTGTTCGACATTATAACCAGAGAGAGAGAGAGCAGCGAGAGAGACCAGAGAGAGAGCAGCGAGAGAGACCAGAGAGAGACCAGCGAGAGACCAGAGACCAGAGAGAGACCAGCAAGAGAGACCAGCAAGAAAGACCAGAGAGAGAGACCAGAGAGAGAGACCAGAGAGAGAGACCAGAGAGAGAGAGACCAGAGAGAGAGACCAGAGAGAGACCAGAGAGAGACACAAAAAAGCTATATTAAACTTGGGGTTATATGAAAGGTGAACCCAGAGAGACCGAGGGACCACTGTACATCAGAACATGACACTATATTCTACAAAACAGCTGACCTTTGACCTTTTATCCCAATGGGCTACAATGAAACTGCCTAAAACCACTTCACAGAAAGAAAGAAAAAGTTACTCTGGCCCAGTTACATTTGTGTTACTTCTTGATGCCTGAGAAACCCTGGAGACGATGGTGCTCCCTCAGCCTGAAGAGCACACACATCAGAGTGATCAGAGAGAGACACACACACACATCAGAGTGATCAGAGAGAGACACACACACATCAGAGTGATCAGAGAGAGACACACACACATCAGAGTGATCAGAGAGAGACACACACATCAGAGTGATCAGAGTGAGACACACACATCAGAGTGATCAGAGTGAGACACACACATCAGAGTAATCAGAGTGAGACACACACATCAGAGTAATCAGAGTGAGACACACAAACATCAGAGTGATCAGAGTGAGACACACACACACATCAGAGTGAGACACACAAACATCAGAGTGATCAGAGTGAGACACAAACACATCAGAGTGAGACACACACACATCAGAGTGATCAGAGTGAGACACACATACATCAGAGTGATCAGAGTGAGACACACAAACATCAGAGTGATCAGAGAGAGACACACACACATCAGAGTGATCAGAACAAACCTGACGGCGTTGATTCTGATGAACCCTGAAGCGTCGCATGGATCATAGTTTCCTTGAACGTCCATACTGAGGAGGGGAGAGACCAGAAAGATCAGTGAGAGACCAGAGAGAGACCAGAGAGAGACCAGAAAGAGACCAGAAAGAGACCAGAAAGAGACCAGAGAGAGACCAGAAAGAGACCAAAGAGAGACCAGAAAAAGACCAGAGAGATATAACTGCAGTTGTGATTTAGGTCTACACACAAATACATTGAATTGGATTATGCCAAACTTAAAGTCATATTAAACAGCAGTCGTTCTGTCGCTGAAAAGACGACATTAGACCAAAATAAACACGCATATGGACTTTACATGAAAAAAATGGTGTCAGTCTTAAAGAGACACACAGAAAATTGTATCGCCAATAATCATTTCCTGGGCCTTTTTTTCCCGTTGCCCCCGTCGCTTTAGTTTGTCTCTAGCCGCAGAATCAATTCTAATGCGTGGAAACACAATCATACAGTATACACAAACCCACACACACACTACATACATTTCCAATCATATCAATTGTGCGACAATACAAAGCAGTGAAAGTGTAGTAAGTCAGGCTTTTTCTGTTCCTCCTCCTGCTCGCGGTCTATTCTTTCAAATCTGTCATATCCGTGTTATTTAGGAGCTCTCCACTTTTCTTCAAGTGTGGCTGTCTTTCACAAAGCACGTCTATGTGGTATATAATTACAGCAGTTTCTACCTGCAGTGCTTAATACACTCCCTGACTGAGCCCTCGCTGCTCTCCTCAATATACCGCCGCACTTATTCTCCGCCAGCACTTAGCAAAGGAGGAAATTGCACACAAATGATAGGATAAACACTGTAAAAAGAAAAGGCTCGACAACTAAATCATCAACTCCCAATACCTAGCACCTGAGCGGCGTGACGAGCGAGCGAAAGGAAAAAGGCTGGGCTTTGTGTGTGTGTGTGCAAGCATGTGATATTCAGTGTCCTTGCTCCGGAGTCCCCGCGGTGGAGAGAGCTGCCGGTGACATTTGTGGCTCTGCTGAGGTGCTGTTATACGACTGTGTTAATGATGCAGTTTACAGAGGCCCGTCCAAAGCCAACAGGATGTCAGCAGGACCGGCACGAGCAAATATACTCAGGGTGTTAGCTGTGAGTGAGTGTTGGAGAGTGCAACAGGCGTCACTATTTCATCACGTTAATCAGAGCTGGCTGACTTGGTTTTCTTCCAAAGGCACAGATTTTGAGGTCTGTGGTCTTTGGTCTGGGCAAGTGCAAGCTCCATGTTTCCAAGATGTCTGCCTCTGGTCTCTCCAAGATGTCTGCCCCTGGTCTCTCCAAGATGTCTGCCCCTGGTCTCTCCAAGATGTCTGCCCCTGGTCTCTCCAAGATGTCTGCCCCTGGTCTCTCCAAGATGTATATGAAGAGAGAGAGACCAAAGAGAAACCAGAGAGTGAGACCAGAGACAAAGACCAGAGACCGGAGACAGAGAGACTCTCTCTAGAGAGACTAGAGAGAGGGACCAAAGAGAGAGACTAGAGAGAGACCAGAGAGACTAGAGAGACAGACCAGAGAGAGACCAGAGAGAGACTAGAGCGAGGGACCAGAGAGAGACTAGAGCGAGGGACCAGAGAGAGACTAGAGAGAGGGACCAGAGAGAGACCAGAGAGAGTATAAAATCTCATAGACCTTTATCAAAGCTATCATATATGTGTGTTTACAGAAAGCCCACCCACACGTCTCAGATAAATCTCACTTGAATCTTATGTACAATTGAAATAGTCTTGTAACCTTTAGAGGAGGGGTCTGTGTTCAATAAGTGATTATCAAAGTGCTGCTGCTTTTAAGAGCTTCTTTAGAGTTTTTGTGCTGAGGTCTTTGTAGCAGGATCACATCCATCTGTCCGTGCCCCGAGGAGTTTGAGCCCAACACTAAACTTCTGTCCCGGGAGCAGCCTTTAATCATGGATCAGATGGATTAGAAAATCAATATGGCAGAATGAGAATTGGAGTATTTCACTAGAATCTCACTATGAATGATATTAAGAATTCTGAGTGAGTGATGATGTAAGTCCTGGATCTGTAGCGGAGCCCTCCCCCAATGTGGCCCTCCCCGGGGTTTCTCTTCCTCCGCTGGGATGTAGACTTTCAACAACATTCATGAACATGGTCTCTGCCCCGTACGGACCATGGATCTAAGTGTTTTTATCACAGCATTTCCTGTGTTTGAACGGTTTGATTCTTTAATCGATTCTTTAACTGTTGTGATTTAGGGATTTGCAAAAATGTATTGTATTTAATTAATATTCCAGGAAGTACTATCACATTAGTCCGGACTAGAACCAGGAAGTACCATCACATTAGTCCTGACTAGAACCAGGAAGTACCATCACATTAGTCCTGACTAGAACCAGGAAGTACCATCACATTAGTCCGGACTAGAACCAGGAAGTACCATCACATTAATCCAGACTAGAACCAGGAAGTACCATCACATTAGTCCTGACTAGAACCAGGAAGTACCATCACATTAGTCCTGACTAGAACCAGGAAGTACCATCACATTAGTCCAGGTCCTCAGGTCTCTGCACCTGTGGCTCAGAGAGTGGACTTTAAAGCAGCTCAAGTCTCTCCATGGCCTCAAAGGGACAGTCCTGCTGGGACTCTGAGGAGCACAGGGACTGACCTCCTGCTGGTCCCAGAGTCAGGACTAAAACATGGAGGCGCAGCGTTTAAGATGTGTTGCAGCAATCTTCCTGAAAATGTGAGACAAGCTTTTTCTCTGAAAATATTTAAATCCAGGTTAAAAACAACTGAAGGAGTGTATCTTTACTATTTTTAATGCACTGTGATTATTTATGAGTTGAAATCTTTGTGTATGAATTGTGCGATACAAATAAAGTTGCATAATACTCTCATTTCCTGGGGAGTATGCAATCTGCTCAGGCCTCACTCTCTCTGACCTGTCTCACTCTCTCTGACCTGTCTCACTCTCTCTGACCTGTATAACTAGCATGACGCTGTTAGCTGCAGTGGTAGCTGCTCTGTCCTCTGGCTACAGGGTGAGTGAGTGAGTGAGGGGCAGATGGAGGGTTTAGCTTTGGTCAGAGTCAGCCCCCCCACAGGGCACTGGGGTCAGGAGCCTGAACTAACCCACTGTTACCGGGGCCCGGGGGGAGGCAGGGGGGGGGGGGGGGTCCGGGGGGGCTGCCCTCCAGGACCGAGCTTGACACTTCTCTGATGTCTTTGTGAAGCAGGGTCACTGTTGACGGTTGGAGGAGGTGGAAACAGACCAACGAGACCAGGACCCGGCACAGACTAACACAGGAGTGTGACATCACCAGTGTGACATCACCAGTGTGACATCACCAGTGTGACATCACCAGTATTAGTATAAAGAGGCCGTTTGAACATGAGCTGGAGCCAATGTCCACATAAGGGCGTTTGTTCCCGGGGCAGACCATGTGATCAACTGTGCATAAAACTGATTCTATTTCTACTATTCTTCTCTTATGAAACCACGTTTTAAGTGTTTTAAGGCCGATACTTGGATGATGCTCAGATAAGAGGCCACTCTTCTGAGAAATATTTGTTAGTACTCCCTTAGAATTGAGTGTCCCCGATTAAGACTGTTCCAACAACCGTACACCGCACAGGAGGAGAGCCTTTGATTCCAAAACAGACTTTACATGGTTTTCAATGGGAGCAACACTGTCCCACCTCTGCTCATGCGCCCCCTACTGGCCAGGTTCATGAAACACAAGAATACAGTCTACTCTTCAGACTGAACAAACACACATGAGCAGAGATGTACCTGACCAGCTCCTCGTTGTAGAGGGACGTGGGAGACTCGCGGCCCAGGATGTAGACGTGGCCCTTGAACACGGACAGCTGCACCTTTCCTTCCACGTTCTCCTGAGACTTGGCGATGCAGTGTCGCACAAACTCACACTCTGGGCTGTACCAAAACCCTGAAAACAGACAAATGGTTGTGTGTAGTACAGGTCTGTTAAACAGGGCATGAATTAAAAAGGAAATTAAACAGTTGATGGCAAAGGCATTAACATATTTGATTAGAGCAGCAGTAAAGAAACCCCTTCGCAGTAATCAGGGGCAGTTCCCTCGCCCCCCCCTCAAACTAAAACCCTCTCATTTTGCTCAGATGTGCTGTCAGCCCATTGGACAAATGGGCCGGGACAGTGTCTGTGCAGAGGTCAGGAACGCCCCACTCAGCAGGGGGCCTCGTCTCATCAGCAGCGACCTCCACCTCATTGTCTGGTCATGTTCAAAGGCAAAAGCAAATCCCATTTCCTTCTGAGCTGGAAGTGGATCAGGAGAGAGAAGCACAGACCGGGCTCAACGGGATGTGTTTGTGTTGATCCAGATTCAGTTTATTTACATTTGCAGTAAAACCACATTAGAAACATGAAAATGGGAAAATAGTCTCCTTCGCTGACAAAGGCGTCTTCTCCATGATTAACCAAACTAATTAACCATTGAAATTAAGAGCTGGACCAAAGCAGGACCAAAGCAGGTGGGTAGTCCTGGGTCTACGGCCTCAGTCCTGGGTCGTCCCGCTCCTTACATGTGTTTGTTTCTATCCGTTGATCTCTGATGTGTTGATGGCGAATCGACAACTTTGTAAAGTCCTCCGCGACGCAGCTGCTGAGATTTAGGCTGTTCACAAATCTTACACTTTGCCTAAAGACTACAGTTAGAAACTCTCTGAATAACACATTTACAGTCACGTTGATGAGTGTGAACTGTTCCTTTTCAAATAAATGAAAAAAATAAACATTGAATTGTAATAAGTTCTTATATGGTAGAGTTTAACCTGTCCCTGATCCTGGAGGATCAGGAAATGCTACGCTATAATGCTATATTACTGTAATGCTATAATGCATGCATGCTAACCGCGCCCCAGAGGGTCTGACTGAAGTGGCCCAGAACTCTCTAATTGCACTGATCCTATTATGAGGCTGAAGGCGGCGAGACTGAGCAGAAGGCGGGATTAAGACACCTGAGCTCGCAGTAAACCATGCGGCCGTCGACACGTCCCTGATTAGCAAACATTTAGAGGCCGCTCTTTTATTCAGGCCTGTTCCATTTGAGAAAGACACTTTCTCAAAAGGTGGTGTGTGTGTCACTGGGGAACACAGAGGGACTGATATCTCTGAGTCTGCAGCAGCCGTGAGTTCAGCTCAGAAGAGATCAACTTTATTGATCTCAGATAAATGCAATGTGACATCACAGACAATGTTAAATAGTCTGTGCAAGAAATAATCAACAGCAGTAGGTTCTTCAGTCCTAGTGCATTAGTGACTTATTGTACACTCTGACAACGGTGGGGATGAAGGAGAGTGTGTGTGAGGGTTTTACAGCCTTAGCATTTATTTGCTTGCGCTGGGGACTGACCAAAATATGACGATTCAATAGTATCGCGATATTTGGGGCACAACAGAACAGTTTTTCCCCATCACTAAAATCTGCCACAGAAAATATCTAAATTGTAAATCTTTGATAAAAATAGTAAAGAACAGATAAATGTAGAGCGTGTGTAGAGTATGTAGTGTGTTCTGTGGCCCTGATGGTCCTGAGAGTCTGAGTGTGTAGTTTTCACAGATGGTCTTGGACTCTTTGGGACTCACCGTTGTAGACCAGCTCAGAGAACTTGACCCCCAGTCCCTGCTTGATCCTGCGGACCTCTTTGTCCAGGGTGAAGGTCTCCATGTCCAGGTGAGCGCTCAGCAGGATGGTCCCTCCCGGGGTCTCGTAGATCCCTGAACACAACACATTCTTACTCCTCCTGAGTCCAAAAAAAACTTGTGGAAACTAGACAGTAGATAGCGGCACGATATATCAAAAAAATATCGTTATCGCGATATTGGTACGTGCGATACAGACGTCAAAACAGACACATCAACACTCAACAAGAATGTTGAATATATGCATTTGAATGTCATTAATGTTGTGCTTATTCTTTGTCATTCGTCTCTTGCGTTTCAATACAGATGCAGATTTAGGAGAAAGATGAAAATATTCTGATATCGCAATAATATCGTCATCGCAATACTCGACACTCATCGAACATCGCTCTAATTTCCAATATCGTGCAGCCCTAGTAGAGATAGACGCAAACCTTAAGATAATATAATACTTTATTCTACTTTGTTAATAAAAGTCCTGAGCACTCACACACATACACAGAATCTACTGCTTAAGATCATAGATAATAGTCAACTCTGGAGCTATAGTTGCACTTGGTTCCTGTAGTGAACACTGTAGTATTTACAGATGTATTGTACTTTAGCAGCAGAGAATATGCCCAGAATCAACAATAGCAACATCAGCAGCAGGTAAAGTCCTAGTGAAGGGCAGACATATCAGATGGATGGAAGTAATAATGTAGTAATGATAATGATAACAGAATATGTGTATAGACGTGTATAGACTCAGCAGTTCTCATTGTACAGTCTGACAGCAGCAGGAAGGAGTGACCTACAGAACCTCTCCTTCACACAGAGAGGGATGAGGCTCTGGGGCTAACTCTGCAGTTTATCACAATGTTATGATTTTTTATGTTCCAGAAAGCATTGTTCCCAAGCCCCGGCGATTCAAGATGGCGCCCTATTCAAATGAATGGTTGTGCTTAGTGGCGCTTTGTGACGGCATGGGGGCTGAAAATATTAGCGGAAGTTGCCTGAAACTCGCAAAGAACTTTGGGAAACTCGCAAAGATCTGTGGGAAACTCGCAAAGATCTATGGGAAACTCGCAAAGATCTATGGGAAACTCGCCTGTATTTGGGCATCGTCTGGTCCTCCCGGTTCTGCGCAGTGGATGATCTCCCATAATGCGTTGCGCCAAACACGCGTGTGTGGGTCTCACACCGGGTCTCACGCACGTGCACAGAGGGGCTCGGCTGCGCTCTGACCAATCAGAGCAGTTCATCAGAGCGGGAGTTAGAGCGAGAGCCAGACGAGCAGAGTTTGTGGCACTAAAGTGTGGATTTAAACAAAACCGAAGGATTTAAGAAGAAAAAAAGTTCAGGATGACAAGGGACACTAAAATCCCCACAAAATCCGACCTTTATGAAAGCTGTAGGTTCTCGGTCAGCTGAGGTTGAGCTGTTTTAATATGCATTGAGTTCTATGGGGAAAATTTCTGTGTAGCCCACGTGAATTTAGTCTGGTCTAGTCTGCAGTACCGCGAGAATCCCCTGAGCACATGGGTTATTCAGCTATAAGCTAGCAATACCCTATCCAGTTAATATAATACACCCATGATTGTTCCTCAGTGCTGTTTACAAAGTTAGTCATATTATTGTGATAATTCCTCCTCATATTTTGATATAATGTTTTGGCCTTATTGCCCAGCCCTACTTCTAAGTTCATGTGGCATCGCTAACCCGCTAGCTCAATGCTAACCCGCGAGCTCAAAGAAGCCGTATAGCTAAGTGCTCTCTCTGGCTCTTATTGACTACATGTAAAAGTAAACTCCTCTGGCTCAGTCACCGGTTTACGCTTAAACACACCGACTGTGATCCTGGTGTTTAAATCATGCTATTGTCTTCATAAATCCTGATCGGAGCCAAATATGGGGGAAAACTCCAGCTTGTTTTAGAAACCAAGTTTGCCCCTGTTTCATCAAGAAGCTAACCCCATCAGAACAAATGCCCATATAAGGAAATTAGCTCCAGCTAGCTAATGTTCAGCCCCTACCGCATTAAGGCTAAGACTGTGGTGATGTCACACTCGGTCAGTCCCCTCCTCATTTACAGTCCCTCTCAGACTAATCATTCCATTCACTGCAGATTCAGACGCTGATGAAAGATCAGGAGAAAGCTTCATGATACGCCCTGATGGCCTGACAGCCTTTTGACGGACGGGTCTTCAGAGCGCCCAAACACACAGAGGAGCGCGTCCCGGATAAATGACAGGGTAGCAGGCCCCTGGCAGCTCGGAGCCTGGACCAGGGCTCGGCCTACCCTGTAATTTACCCCCTCTGGACCCCTGCGGAGGGGGGGCTCGAACCAACACGAAATGAAGCTGTCACTCAAACTATGACTAAAACAAAAGAACAGTACCAGACATGACACAAATATAGTTATTCGAAAAGTGATTTTGTAAGTGCATAGATTGTGTGACATCTGGGGTCAAACTGAAAGTTATTAAAAAAGTATTAAAAACTTCCAATTCTATTCTATTCTAGTTGATCTGCTTTGTCTGTGTATATATTGTGTATTTACAGACGTGTATTATCCTGTTATCCAACATTTTAAACTGTAAATGTACATATTCAGATATGTTTATTCCTGCGCACCTACAGCCAGATTATTCTATTCTTGCAACAGTATCTTATTATTAGTCTTGTTTTCAGGGTGTTACTTTATTGTTATTTTCATTGTTATTTTTTGTGGAATCCTACACAAGCTTCTATGACGAGGCCATTTCCCTGTGGATCAGTAAAGTCAAAGTCTAATTTATCTTATGTCTGCACATCAGGAGTGTGACATCACCACAGTGTTAGCCTCAAAGCAGAAGAGCTAGCTGGAGCCAATGTCCTTATATGGGCATTTGACGTGACGGCGTTAGCTTCGCGGCAGAACAGGGGCAGACGTGTCCTGACTAAGACCAGGGGGCGGGACCACATTACACCGGTTTTAAAATCGCTGCATTGGCTCCCCGTGTGTTTCAGGATTGATTTTAAGGTTCTCCTAATGGTTTTCAAATGTCTTAATGGTCTTGGGCCTTCTTATCTTTCAGAACTGCTTTTATCCTATGAACCCTCCCGGCCCCTGCGCTCCTCCGGCAGCAGACTCCTAACCATTCCAAAAGTCAGGACACACACTCACGGTGAGGCGTCTTTCCAACACTACGGCCCCCGTTTCTGGAACAGTCTGCCGGAGGAGCTCAGGGTCGCAGAGAACATTCATATTTTTAAAGCCAGGCTCAAGACACACCTTTTTAGATTAGCTTTTGATTAGTATTTTTTAGTCCATTTTTATATATTCTATTTATCTTTTATTATTTATTATATTGCTATTGCTTTTATTCATGTTTTGTGTGATAGTTCATTTCAGGCTCACATTTTAGTGTTTTACTTATTGTATTGTTTTTAGTATCCCCAGTGTTTCCTCTGGAGGAGCCCTCCGCGCTGGGAGCGGTGGTTGGCTGTGGCTGTGGGGGTCGGACTCTTGGACCTGGTGGGGGCCCGGGGCCTCGGTTTTGGGTCTCCTCTGGGTCCTGTGTCGTCCCTTTTGGCTATGGGGGGCTCTCTGCTCCTGGCGCTGACGGCTCCTTGGATGGCGTTTCTTCAGCCGGTTGCATATGAACCCTGCCAAGTCTCTTATCATCGTTTTATTGTTTTATCGGTGCGTGTGTGGGTGGGGGGGGTGGGGGGTGGGGGGGGGGGGGGGAGGGCATGGGCAGGATTGTTTTTTAGCCAAACTGTAAAGCACTTTGTGTTGCATCTGTTGTATGAAAAGCGCTTTATAAATAAACTTTGATTGATTGATTGAGACGTGTTGCTAAGACGGTACTAAGGAAAGCTGGAGTTTCCCCCACGAATGAAGGCCTCTGATTGTGAATCCAGATATGAGCCACATGAGGACAGACCAAAGACAATATCTAAATATAAACAGATGTTTTACACCAAAAATGGTGAATGTGACACAAACGGTTACTAAGAAAGAGAGGTTTACTATTACATGTGAGTCAACAGGAGTCAGAGAGAGCTGGAGCCAAACTTTGTCTATGAGCACTTCCCCATTGGGCTTCATTGAGCTAGCGGGTTAGCATTGTCCATCCATATACAGTGTCGGCAGTGTTCCCCAACCTTTGAGCTGTGGCACACCTGAAGCCAAATCTACCAGATAATATCATACAATATACATATATACACATCACAAAATCATATTAAAAAAACTTGTACAAACAAAGAGTAATAGAAAAACTTTTAGCCCCAAACAGCTCTTATGTTTTTAAATCAGACCCAGACAAAAATGAGACCCCCCTGCTTTAGCCCCTCCTGCAATGGAACAATTGCAAAAACCCAGTGGGTAAAAAACATAGACTGTATATATTAACGGACAGAGTCACGCCTATCTCCGCCGTTCTAACTAATGGGCCAAAAAATGTGCTCTACTGGAGCTATTCAAAATGGCCGCGAGTGGTCTCGCCCACAAGAAAATTGTGAAAAAACGCATCTGCGCATGCGTCAGCCGCCGCAGCTCCCTTCATTTAAGCGAGAGACTTCAAAAATTCACAGCAAGTAAACTAGAGTGGACCAAAAAAATCCACCCCCCTCAGCATTGACACACATGTGGAACAGAGCTTTGGGCCAAGAGCCAACTTTTGGTCCATCCTGTAAAGACGTTTTCGAGAGGTCTGTCAATGCTATATGTTAGCATTGGCTAATTCTTCTGGGTCCACCCCCATCGACCCGAGGTGGTATTGCAGCATGTCAGCGCACGTCATTTTGGACACTTTTGAGCCGGGACCCGCCCCCACTGGTAAAAAAGTATAAATCTAAATCATTACTAAACTGTTCTTTTCAGTTTCTTTAACGGTGACCGCAGCTCAGTCTGACGACCATCTGTAAAAACTCTTCACTTTCTTACCTCAGCAGTGATTAGCAGAAGCCTCAAAGGTACAGAGAGCTCACAGGTAATCCGGGCTGGAGAAGGCGGCGAGTGGAGGCCTCCATCAGATAAAGAAGTTAAAGGTGCCTCCAACTCAGAGAGGCTTAAGTTCAGTGACACGAACAATGAAAGGCTCTCTCTCTGAGCTCGGGCCGTTTTGTTGAGCTCACAGATAAAAACTGTTGTAAATGTGAGCCTTTCCCGCCACAAAAGCTGCTATGTTAACCGGCCTGAGGCTAATCTCCTTTGAGCTAACGGATAAACTGTTGGAGCCACTGGTTAATGCAAAAACACAGATTATATACTGTACAACTGAAGGTGCGACTTAATGCACTGAGATTATTTATGATTTGTTTTCGTTTCTTGTTTTGTTAAAGGAGCTATACCTGTTTCTGTAAGATTTGAATGTTTAGCCCCGCCCCCAACTCGCTCACAGGCTTCTCATTTCCCCTACGCTCTCATCCCACGGAGCCATCTAGTTTTATTTGTGATCTATATGCTAACACTAGCATTAGCACAACTTAAGCTGTACAACAACCACTGATGAAATGGTACAAATGCAACGCACTGCTAACAAAATATATAACTAAAAGATTACCGCTAGTTTCACGTCCAAATGTCCGAGCGCAGATAGACCGAGCGCAGATAGACCGAGCGCAGATAGACCGAGACAGACCGAGCGCAGACAGACCGAGCGCAGACAGACCGAGCGCAGACAGTCCGAGCGCAGACAGTCCGAGCGCAGACAGTCCGAGGCAGTCCCGCGGGTCTCTCCCATACACCAGTCTTTCCAGAGGATACGATGTAAGCTAGCTATGTTCAGGGCTTGATTTCTTCTTTGATCATGTTTTGGCTTTAGTTCCCTCTTCTCTTCCTCACTGTTGTGTGGTTTGGAATGTTTTGCTGTGTCTGCAGTTACAGCCAGAGGAGTTATAGCCACTTATGCTAACATGCTACTGTGTTTAGCAGCACTGTAGAGGCAAGAGGACACAGCCTCGTTCTGTGATTTGAGGGGAGCGGGCGTCACGCTAAGCTGATACATACACAGCTGAATCTATGAGCTCAAGTTTTACATTCAATTACAGATTATAATACAACTCCTTTGTATTAATAAGCATTTTTATGAACTACTTATGGCCCCTCCCATCTCTGTGTGGAGTCAGAGACTAATGTAACAACTGTAAACTGCTGTGACTCTGGTCTGAGAAAGGCGCTATATGAATAAACATTACTTTTTTCCTTAGGATCACAGAGCGGGTTAAGCCAAAATGATGTGTGACACAAACGTTACTGAGATAGAGAAGTTTACTTTTACATGTAGGTTAGTAGGAGCCAGGGCAAGTTGGAGCCAAACTTCATCTATGAACACTTCCCCAGACCGTCGTGAGACAGGTTAGTTTGACCCGATGTGTTGTTGCAATAGTAATCCTGCGCCCCATTGGGCTTCATAGAGCTAGCGCGTTAGCATGGTCCATCTACACAGTCGTTGGTATTAGCAACGAAAGCCTCGTGACCAACACAAACATTTCTTTTATCAAATTTGAAGCCGTCAAAGTGAAAGGTGGAACTATTCTTCTGAAAACACTGATTTTCCTCCTTGCGCAGACTGACAGCTTCCTTGACAAACCATTACAATCGTCCTCCGCCTCCCTGACCCGGCACAAACAAACACGACCCACAACACGACTGTCTTTTGTGCAGCCTGACAGTGTGCTAGCTTACAGTGCGGCAGCGGCGGCTACGGAGGACGCCCGGCAGCTTTTCAGACGCTTTGATCTTTTGTTTGAGAGGGAGGGGTGGAGGGGGGGGATGGAGAGGGGGAGAAAAGTGGGCTTCCTATTTTCCAATTTCTACCTGCCAAGATGAGCTATATCCGCCGTCAGTCCAGTCCATTTCTCGATCAAAACACGTCTCGCTGTAAGAAGACATTAGGAATCCAGAGGGTGCTACGGGCCGAGGAAGGAGTTTGGTTTATTATCATTATTGTGCTTTTGTATAATATTCAGGCCGTAATGTGGTGCATCGTTCTCATGTTCAAAAGTTAAAGAATATCTGTTCTGCTGTTACTGTCGTGTGCCGTTTATTAAGAGTTTTAAACCCAATTCTGTTCATTTAATATGAAGCTGTTGTGTATCTGTGAAAACTAGTTACTCTACTCTACTTCTATCCACGCCAAACTGGTGCTAAAGTGTAGGGTAGGGTAGGGTAGAGTAGGGCAGAGTAGAGTAGAATAGGGTAGGGTAGAGTACTCAAAGTTCTGTATCAAACACAAACTGATAATTATTTCTTTTTTTCAGTCGTTTTTGGAATAAAGCGACAAAACCATCCTTTGTTCTGCTCCTCTGCAATTATCTCAGACTCTTGACGACTGAAGCTGTCAATCATTGCACCTGGAGGAAAATGTAGCACCTGGAGGAAACCGTAGCACCTGGAGGAAACCGCAGCCGACGCAAGGAGAATATGCAAGACAGAAATCCATGTCCAAGAGCGTCAAAAAGGACAGTAGGAGGCAGAGTGTTAAGATCCAAGCTCAGCCTCAGTCCTGGGTCTACAGCCTCAGTCCTGGGTCTACAGCCTCAGTCCTGGGTCTACAGCCTCAGTCCTGGGTCTGCTGCCTCAGTCCTGGGTCTACAGCCTCAGTCCTGGGTCTGCAGCCTCAGTCCAGTCTTTTGCGGTCAACGTGACGGACGGAGATGGATCCAGTCAGTCGTGAAGTGTTTTTGGGCTCCCAGTGTGTGTTTTGGTGCATGTAAATAACTCGGTTTCTATGACTTCAGGTAAATCACCAGGAAAAGGAAATGCATCTTTTGACGAGAGCGAGAGGAAAACGGAGAATGACACTCAAAGGACTCTTGTCAGATAACTGCAAATTACATGAAAGCTTTTGGTTCTAAAAGGATTTGAGACATATTTCAAATTGGTGAGAATATGATTGCCTGTCCGCTCTGAATAGTTACTCCATGTGAAAATGGACGCCGCACGTCAGAGCCAGAAAGTGGAGATTCAAAATCATATGAAATAAATGCACTTATGATAATCGCTCACCTCTGGACTTCATCCCAATGAAGCGGTTCTCTACTATATCTATCCTCCCCACACCGTGCTTCGCCCTGGGAGAGAGAAGGAAGACTGCTGAATACATATACAGCATATGAGGGACTGAGTCTGGTCTGGTCTACACAAAAACATAAGCTCTCCACTTTATACATCTGACTTTATGGAGCCCTCAACAGAGCAGCAAATGGAAAACCCCAGAGGAGAAAGAGACCAGAGAGAGACCAGAGAGAGACCAGAGAGAGACCAGAGAGAGACCAGAGAGAGACCAGAGAGAGACCAGAGAGAGACCAGAGAGAGACCAGGGAGAGACCGAGAGAGGCCGAGAGAGGCCGAGAGAGACCAGAGAGAGAAAGTTAGAGATTTTATACTAGCTTCTTTATTATGCTAAAGCATTGGTGTCAAAGTCAAGGCCCGCGAATGAATGATCTTGGCCCCGGGATTGTATTTAGTGATAGAATCGGCTGCACAGAGACATAAGAAAATATTGGATTATTAATTTAATGTTCAAGACATTTTCTCTTTGAAAGAAGTTTGTTTTTGTCTGAGCTGTTGAAAAAAATATCACTTGAAAATGACAGCCATAAAAAATATGTAAGGGATAATGTATAGCCTACAGGTCATTATCGGAAAATAAGTACCGACAGGGCGAAGCGGACCCCGACGCGGAAGCGGAGGGGTCTGCTTCCGCCCTGAAGGTACTTATTTTCCGATAATGACCTGTAGGCTATACATTATCCCGCTTATTATACTGCTTTGTACCAACTTAACACACAATATAAACTTCAGATCACTTTTATGAATGCCAAAAGTGTATTTAATGACAACAAATAAAGTAGTCCCAAAAAGTTTTCCCGTTGCTCGGCAACCGCGGGCAGGCAGTGTGGCTTTGACAATTGTGGCTATGCTAGCAACAGTTAGGCTGGCAACTTCCAAACTAGAACTCTCTGGAACTGCATGAAAACTGAACAACGAATTCTGAACATCAGCGGTGAGTGACCCATACATAAACATAACCTAAATCCATAATTCGATCCTCTGCAAATGTGTCCGAAAATGTGCCGGTATCTTAAAATGTGCCGGTATCTACTTCCGGGTTTTTCGGGATCGCCTTTTCTCGCATTACATCAGTGGTTTTGTCATGAAAACGTAAACGGAAAATTCTGAAAACTTCCGTGCACTTGTATTAAGACTGGATATGTATAATTCACTCTCCAATAAACATTTCATTGCGTTGATTGATTGGCATTTGCGTTTATTGAGCGGCCAGAACTACTTCCGGGTTTTTCACGATCGCTTTTTGACGCAGAGAAATTGTATTTTTGTCATGAAGACAAGACCAGAAAATTCTGAAAATTTCCGTGCACGTGTGTGAAGAATGTATATGTATAAGTATTCTCCGATTAACATTTAAGTGTGTTGATTGAGCGTGGCTAGCTCAGGAGTGGCCGGAACTACTTGCGGAGTTATCCACGCATTTGAAATACAAGCAGAGAGTGCGTTGCCATGGGCAGCGGTCATTATTGTTTTGAGAGGTCCGTTATAGAAAATAATGACCGGTAGAACGTTTTGAAATTACATTCAAATCAATGGAGCGTTCTACTGCTGCTCTGAGGAGCCGTATAATAATAGATTATTAATTTAATCATTAAAATATGGTCCACTGTGTTAGCTCTTGGTTCTATACGTTTTATGCATCATTTTAATATGTTTTAACATCGAACAGTCCTCGGCTTGTTGTAATGTAGGTTTTTTGCCTCTGATGTGTTTGACTTTGACGTCCCTGAGCTAAACTAATGTGTCTTTAAAACAGTTAAAACAATGTTTAATACTAACATTCCGTGCTAAGGCTAACGCTGCTGGCTTACAGACTGTGGCACAGACTCACCCGATCTCATTCAGGTACGAGAAGATTTCCAGAGAAGAAGTCTTAGAAACGTCCTCTTTCACGTTCGTCACTTTGACTGGAACTCCTGCGGCACCAGAGAAGAGTGAACAAAGGTACAGAAAAACAAACAGATAAGATCAAGAATACTGCGCTTGCTCCTGTTTGAAAAGATGTCGCTTGTTTAGTCTTTGTTCAAATAAAAAAGAAAAGTTCCAAGTTTGTCACAGCCGCGGCGCCAGGGATAGGCCCGGGTAGGCCGGTGCCTACCAGTTTTTTTCTTGGCCTACTCAAATTTGTTCTTCGCCTCTCAAGTCATTAGCCTTTTTATTAAAAGTCATAATTTAAATATTGTTATTTTTATACACACATTATTGCCTAAATGTTGCGTTCTAATGTTTTAAGAAAATGTAACCCCCTGAGCGTTCACGTTGCTTCAAATATAGTCCTGTTTATTGGCTGAATAATTTTGTCCAATAATCTGCATGATCATATCACGCAGCGCGAAGCTCGTTCCCGAGAACAAGCAGCCATTCCTCGTCTTTAAGATTGACAACGCTCTCAAAACATTCACAACAGAGCAGCCTTTTTAGTCATTTTAGTTTTAAGAAAGTTCAGCGTGAACTTCGTGAGGCAGAGGAGCCAGAGGCCCGGGCCCGTAGGTCCCAGAGGAGGAGAGCGCAGTCAGGCCAGGTTCACCTCGCACTGATGAGGTAAACCCCAGGCCTGTGTCTGAGAGACACACAGGGCCTCATGTATGAAACTTGCGTACGGACAAATCAGGGTGTAAATCAGGGTGGAATCACTTTTCCGCATTTATCTATCTGGACGTGAGCGTACAATACGCAAAAAAAAATACGGCAGGTCTGGAGGTGCTCTGGAGGTGGAGTAAACGTATACGCTGATCTCAACCTTCGGCTCAACACGCCAAAACACGCATGAAATTCAGGATTTGGACAACAATAAACATATTCCCTCTGGCAAAATTATAAGCTGTGTTTTCATTGAGCATCATGTTTCAAAAGTTGAATTTGCGCATCGGAAAAAGGATCAGGACCCTCTATTAAATCTGACTTGTGTGTGTATTATTTTGATCTGTATATGTTTTTTAAATGTGAAGCGGTTTGTGATCCTGAACTGTGAAAGGCTCTATATAAATACACTTTACGCAACAGGGATGTGTGACCCAGCTATTGCTGTGACAGGCTCTGCGCTGCGTAATTACGCACGGCTATTTGTATTCCTCACATCTGGTAAAGCAATGTGTTATTTCATTAGATTTGTGTTAGCCTCACACAGACACACACCCCAATAACGCACCGATGGTATTGCTCACTCCAAATGTCTCACTGCCCTGTCCAGAGTGCGCAGCGAGTGCCGTGAGATATCGCGCCACATAACTCCTCAAATGTGCAGAAGTTTTGGCTTCAGTTTCTTTGTGAAATCTGGACCGCAAACGCTCTCTGAAGTGTACAGTGCTTCAATGCGCACTTCTACCCCGAGCCAGGCTGCGTCCAAGACGCTGCAGAAGCTTCATTCATGAGAGCCACCGCTGCATAATAAATATGAATTCATTCATTCATTCAATCAATCTATATTTATTCACTTCTACAATTCAAGAGAGATTTTTCTAATGTATCAAAACTATTTTTGCAAATTTGTGCAAAACGCAGCTGAATATATAGCGTATATTTATTTTTACATAAACATAACAAACAAACGTGCCTTTTGAGGACGTCTTTTTGGACTTCCGTGCTGACCTGTCGCAAACATTGCTGCATAATTCTAGGCGTGACTTTCATAAATACGTTCGTATTCAGCCGATTTATCAACACCCGCAGCTGCGTATATGCTCAGATCTGGGCTGATCTCACACGTTCATAAATCCGACGTTGGATTTTGCGTAAATGGAATATACACCCCAAATGTACACATTTTTCTACGCAAGTTTCATAAATGAGCTTGTGTGTATGTGTGTGCTTGGGTGCGTGTGTGTGCGCGTGCGTGCGTGCATTTGAACCATATTCTTTGAAACCCCAATTCCAGCTACCCCTTGTAGTTTGCGTGCGAATTTGGCCTACTTACTAATCTGCAGGCCTACCCAAAATTGCAAACCTGGCGCCGCTACTGGTTTGTCATGATCTAAAACCTTTTAAATATGACGTTGAAGCTGCAGAGAAGCTGCATCATGGACCACGGCCACAGCTGGACTGAAAACTTTCATGTTTATGTGAACAGCAGACGATCAAACAGAATACAAGGGACGTGTTTTTATGGGATTAGGAAAGTTTTCCAAGTGAGAGGGTGAGAGGGGAGGGAGAGTGGAAAGAGGAGAGAGGAGGGGAGAGGAGAGGAGAGGAGAGGAGGAGACACATACACTTTTGAGCTTCAGGTCCATTTCAAATAAAGACTAAACTAAACACTTTTGTTTAACTTTGCAGAAAACATTCAAACTAATCCAAAAGCAGCACAAACAGGAGCCAAAAGGTAAAGTGCTGACACTGACACAGTAGTGTTCAGGAGAGAGCGTCTCAACAGGCGGAGTGCGAACACAGAACACTGAGGCTGTGACGGTGGCCAGGCCTTTAGCTAACGCACACCGCTCTGTTAGCCAAAGGCTTTGTTAGCCACACGCTTAAGCACGCGGGATTTTTGCACTTGTTTGTGGGTCCTTGCTCATATGCACAAGACAAAAGCCGGAGCAGCCGCACAACTCAGACGCGCAACTCGCAGAAGCGCAACTCGCAGAAGCGCAACTCGCAGAAGCGCAACTCGCAAAAGCGCAACTCGCAGAAGCGCAACTCGCAGAAGCGCAACTCGCAGAAGCGCAACTCGCAGAAGCGCAACTCGCAGAAGCGCAACTCGCAGAAGCGCAACTCGCAGAAGCGCAACTCGCAGAAGCGCAACTCGCAGAAGCGCAACACGCAGAAGCGCAACACGCAGAAGCGCAACACGCAGAAGCGCAACACGCAGAAGCGCAACTCGCAGAAGCGCAACTCGCAGAAGCGCAACTCGCCGCAGACTCTGTGTGTGTGTGTCTCTCTGTGTGTGTCTCTCTGTGTGTGTAATTTCTCCATCTTTATAATTTTTTTCAGATTTCAGTAAATTTATTGTTGTGTATTTTCCCTTTTTGCCAAAGTGTGACTCCAGGAAGAACAGCTGTGTTTGAGCACAACACAACCACAAACAACCACCACCATCAACACAACAACCACGACCACACAACCACACCCACAGTCACCTTTCACTACCACCTCCATGGTCGTGACACGTGACAGATCTGACACGTTCCCTCAGAGCAGTGCATTGTGGGACATCCCGTTCTCACATCAGGGGAACCTTCCTGGCTCCATGGGAGAGGAACGCTGCACTGCACATATTCTTTTTTAATCAGTGAGAAAACTTTGGTGAGAACGGCAGCGATGGAAAAGGTGGGAGGGGCAAAGGAACGACGACATTCTTTTGCTGATGTGATCAGAGGGAGGAGGCCTTTGTGTGCGCCACAGAAGGAGAATATATGTGAAAAAGTGAGCAAAGGGACTGCGGGAAAACCCACACCAGGCCTGAATCCGCCTCCCGCTGATCTGGGTCCAGAGACAGAAGAGGGACCGCGAGGAGAACGAGTATCAGGGTCCATTCAGGGAAAAGTTTTAAAAGACAAAGGGAAAAAAACCATTAACGATGGAAGCGACACCTGGGGGAGGGCACAGGGACAGACACAGAGAGACACAGGTACACAGAGAGACAGGTACACACAGAGACACAGACACAGGAACAGGTGAGACAGATGAAGACAGGAAGTCAAACTAAAAAAAAAAAAAAGTATCAAGAGCTAACGTAGAAAACAAAGAGAAAATGTTTCCTGATATTTTCTTAGTTATATATTTCTTGCACAAGAAATATTCTGCTAAAGTTATGCTAAAGTTATGCTACAGTGATGCTAGAGTGATGCTAAAGAGATTGTATTTCAGTTATTGTTCACGCAGGGTGTGAGGGTCTGCCTTCAGTGATGGTCCAGGACCCTCCACATTTATGGACAGTTATTAGTTCATTATATTCTTTAATGATCTCTGTTGGAGAAAAGTGTCCAGAAGCAGCACAAACACATCCAAACAAAACACACTTATTTCATTATTGATCATTCTAAAAAGACAATAGTAATAACTGTTTTCTATCCTTGTGTTCTCTGATCTGCGCTGGTGAATTAAACCGTTTAGTAAAGTGATTTAACTTTTATTGATAGAGTTTGTATAATATCGTACAGAAGCTTTCTCTGGAGCCTCAGAGCAGAGTCCGGGGCCTGAGCTTCTGTGAGGAGCAGGACTGAGACCATCTGGGCCCAGCGCCTGAGGCCGGGGTGCTCCTTTACTCTGTCTGCAAACATGTGACACTCTCCGCTGCAGAGGCCGCATCATCCATAATGAATGTTCCCTGCGGCCCCAGGGCCCCGGGGCCCAGGGTATTAAACAGACTTAATGCTTCCGGCCCGAGTGTGGGCCCCGGGGCCAAACACGCCGGCTTTAGACCCGGTCGAGCTGTGGAGGTCTGTGGGGGAGTCTGGGTGGTCAGGGGAGGAGCCACAGAGAGGGGTGGAGCCAATTCAATTAAAGGGGAGGTACACGACTTTCTCCTACAGTAAATAAGAAGCGTTTGTTTCAAATTAGATTTTTCAGTTTAGAAAATTTGTCAAAAATATAGAAATATTTAGTTTAGAGTTATTTACTTCAGTTTTCTCTGATGTTGTGTTTAGTTCACTTCGCTGCTGTGTGTGTGTGTGGGAGGAGTGTCTCACTGCCAAAAGAGAAAAATAAGTCAAAAAATGCTACAATTTTGAAATAAATAAATCCCATTGAGATTAAGAACCAGTTTTTCAGAGGTCACACAGAAACACCACAGATAAACCCAAAATGTTCCAACGAGACGAAGCAAAATGTGATTCAGGAAATGTCTGGGTTGGAGGGTTAGAGGAAATACAGCCAGTTTTTGAGAAAAGACTAAATGAGTCATTGGAGAATCTAGTTTTAAAACAGAATATGCACAGATTCCGATTTAAAATCATGTTATTTCATCCAAAAACCACAGTCCATCAGACGTTTCTAACAGGTCCATATAAACGTCTAACTGAGTCTGACACGGACCACAGAGAACTCACCGTGTTTGAATTCTATCTCCAGGACGTCGGGGGCGTCCGGGGAGTCCTGGGGGTTGGTGGTCATCAGGTAAAGGTCGGCGGGAGCGTGACTCTGAAAACACATCACACTCTCTCACTCCGTTCTCCTTTTGTGAGTCCAGGACCTTCCCAGACCTCATCAGCGACACTGAACCGAGGCCCGGGCCACACAAGACTAGAATCCATGCTTTAGTTTCTCCTTGATTGAGTTTGATCACGTTTGGGTGATGTCACGTGTTTGGGTGATGTCACAGGAGGGAGTGTGACGAGGGAACGGAGCAGCCGAGGAATTATGTCCCAGTTTAAAACAACTTCATTTCATTATTGGCAAATTTAACTAATGCTTTGGCCTTTGCTCCATGGACTGAGAGCCCTGACTGCCACCCCCCAACCAGGCATGGGCGAAGAGGAAGAAAATGATTGAAGGGATATTTGCAAACTTTAATTCTCCTGCTTTCCTTTAACATCTTACCATGTGTAAACTCTGGTCCATGGAGAAAGCAATAGTAAAATAGATAGACAGACACTTTATTGATCTCCGAAGGATAAATTCAGGAGTCCAGTAGCAAAAAATAAAAATGATGGTTGTAAAAAAAGGCAACAATAGTAATAATCAGCACCATCTGCTTTTACTGAAAATGAAAAATACTGAATATGTCAATCATTGAAAAAAATAATAATTATGTACATTTCAGTCTTTTGCTACTTTGTTCCAGTCGGCCTGAGCTGCAAGCAATTTCCCCGAGTCGCAGACGAGAGGAGAGAGGGGAGCGAGAGGAGAGAGGGAGGAGAGGAGAGAGTGGGGAGAGGAAAGAAGAGCAAGAGGAGAGAGAGAGAGGAGGACAGAGGAGAGAGAAGAGGAGAGAGAAGAGAGGAGAGAGGACAGAGGGGAGAGAGTAACTAAGTAAGTAATATTTATGTGCGCCTCTCTCAGACCAGAGTCACAGACCTTTACAGCTGTTACATTAGTCTCTGACCCCACACAGAGATGGGAGGGAAACCGGAGCACCCGGAGGAAACCAACGCAGACATGGGGAGAATATGCAAACTCAGAAAGGCCCTGCTCCGACCGGGATTTAAACCTAGGACCTTCTCGCTGAGAAGCGAGAGTGCTAACCACTCAGCCACCGTGCCGCCCGAGAGAGCAGAGTGTTGCCATCACTCACAGCTCGGCAACGCCGGCGGCCGCTGTGTCTTGGGCTCAGACTAATTTCAGGGACGGTGCAGAATAACCACCGGGTGCATTTAAACGGAACGCTTTACTCGACACTAAAATCATACAATAACTAATCGCCGCCGTCGCAATCACTGCCTTTTCCTTTTAACTAAACACTGAGATTGACTTTGAGGCGTCCGTCTGGGTCTATTTTCTGCTCGGATTCACTGAGAGACGCCAAATGAGAGACGAGGGGCTAAAAGCACCGACAGGAAGAAGCACCATGCCATTTTAATACTGCAGGACTTTTATGGTTTTACTTACTGCATATTTTTGGTAACGACATTCTGCACGCGAGTTAGCAAACATTCTGCACGCGAGTTAGCTAAACATTCTGCACGCAAGTTAGCTAAACATTCTGCACGCGAGTTAGCAAAACATTCTGTACGTGAGTTAGCAAAACATTCTGTATGTGAGTTAGCTAAACATTCTATACGCGAGTTAGCTAAACATTCTGTATGTGAGTTAGCTAAACATTCTATACGTGAGTTAGCTAAACATTCTGTATGTGAGTTAGCTAAACATTCTATACGCGAGTTAGCTAAACATTCTGCACGCGAGTTAGCTAAACATTCTGCACGCGAGTTGGCTAAACATTCTGTACGTGAGTTAGCTAAACATCCATACGTTAAACATTATTCTCCTCGTCTTGTGTGATTTTTTCTCTCATAAACTTGCTCACTCCTTGAAGAACGCAATGTCATTTTTTCGTTTTTATGATTGTATAGTATGTAGGAGCACAGAAAAAAAAAATAGATTTAAAAACATAATTTTATACTAGCTTCTTTATTATGCTAAAGCTAGAGACGTTATACTAGCTTTTTTATTATGCTAAAGTTAGAGATTCCAGACTTTCTGCTGATGCAACACTGACATTTCCGCGGTTCATATTTTACACACTTCACATTCATTTCATTTTCACAGCTTCGTTGGCGTTAACCTGTGATCCTAAACCCGGCGCTCGTTCGGTCAGAATCGGAGACTGCGGCAATGGGCTTGTTTCTTGTTTCCTGTCTGAGAGATCAATGCATTTCAATTGTCGCCCCCCGCAGGTGGAGCAGTCCCGGAGCAGGGGGGGGGGGGCGGCACGGGGGTGATGGAGGGAAATGGGGCGTGAAGCGCACCATCATGCCGCCTCTCGCTGGTTCCTTCCGGAGCCTTGTTCGGTGTCATATTGTTGAGCTGAACACAGATCTTAAGCACACACACATCTCTTTCTCTCTGCTGTGTGTGTGACCAGAGAGAGACCAGAGAGAGACCTGAGAGAGAGACCAGAGAGAGAGACCAGAGGGAGAGACCAGAGGGAGAGACTGAAACCAGAGAGAGAGATCAGAGGGAGACTGTGAGAGTATATTTATTTCATACACTTGGTCCATCCATAAACATAAAACAGACACAGCAGAAATATTGGAATATGCTCCGACACCAGTGAGACCATAATAATAATAATAATATAAATAATAATAATATATTTGTTTTACACAGCGCTTTTCTGGACTCTCAAAGTCTCTTCACATCATTATTCTTTCTCTCCAAACACGTGGTGATAAACTACTGTAGCCACAGCTGCCCTGGGGCACACTGACAGAAGCCATCGGCCCCTCCCACCACCAACCACACAGAGGACCTGCTGTTAAATACTATCAACAGCTTTAGGCCAAAGTCATGTCCAAACCAAGGCCCGAGGCCAAATGAGGCCCTCTGTGCCATGATATATGGTCCTATGCTCTTTGAGATCATAGATTCACAGTGTCATCCAGCCAACTTCAGCTCAGCTCATATAGGCCTCATTATAAAGCTCAGAACCTCTTTGTGTCACAAAACTAGGCTCATGATGCTAACGGTACTAAACATGCTAACGATGCTAATGTAGTTGATGAGATGTCAGATGATTATGAAGCTCAGAACTGCCCTGATCCAAACAGTTTTATAATCTGTGTTGTCGGCCCCTGGATAAACCTGCTGAACTAAAGTGGTCTCTCACTCAAAAGTTTGGACACCTCTGGGCTGAAGCTAAAGGTCAAACCTATGAGCTGGGGGGGGGGGGGGGGGGGGGGGGGGGGGCATGGCGTTCTGTGACCTCTCCGCTCCAGAGCACACTCACACTGCTCCTCACCTACACGCGCACTTCCTCCGCCTGCGGGCAGAGGTCTGTGCCCCGAGAGAAACACACGTCTGCATTTCCTGTGGCTCCGCATCAAAGGCTGGACTCAAGGAAGCGTGAGACAAACCACAAAGACCGAAGTCCTAATGAGACTGCCTCAGGACGGTACGCGACCACAACGGGTTTAGAACACAGATATTATTCCCTTCACCGTGACGACACACACACACACACACACACAACAGGTGTGTGTGTGTGTGAGGATGATCACTGCCTCAAGTATAAAGAGGAGACAATAATGCATAAAATCCTTGTGTGGTGCATTTGGAGACCAGAGGGAGACCAGAAAGAGAGAGAGAGAGACCAGAGAGAGACCAAAGGGAGAGACCAGAGAGATCAGAAAGAGAGACCACAGACCACAGAGAGGGACCAGTGAGAGACCAGAGAGAGACCACAGAGAGAAAGAGAGAGACCAGAGAGAGACCAGAAAGAGAGAGAGACCAGAGAGAGACCAGAGAGAGACCACAGAGAGAGAGAGAGACCAGAGAGAGACCAAAGGGAGAGACCAGAGAGATCAGAAAGAGACCACAGAGAAAGACCACAGAGAGAGAGAGAGAGAGAGACCAGAGAGAGACCAGAGAGACCACAGAGAGAGAGAGAGACCAGAGAGAGACCAGAGAGATCAGAAAGAGAGACCACAGAGAGGGACCAGTGAGAGACCAGAGAGAGACCACAGAGAGAGAGAGAGACCACAGAGAGAGAGAGAGAGAGAGAGAGAGACCAGAGAGACCAGAGAGATCAGAAAGAGATAAGGATGCACCGATCCGATACTGGTATCAATATCGGCGCCGATACCAGAAAGAATACTGGATCGGATATCTGCGTAGAGAGGCGCCGTGCTGCCGATCCATTTTCTTGTCTTGTTTTTTTTTTTAATTATATATATTTTTTTAATACATACCAGGTACCGCACAATGTCTTAAAATACATTGTGCATAATGTACATATACGTATAAAATGAATTCATTAAAAGTAATTTATCAGATCTCACGTACACGTCACTTCCTCATTGGCACTCTACAACAACAACAACACAGCATGGAGTGCAGGAAAGAATCAGCGTTGTTCACGCGGCGTAAACTAGCGAAATACAACACGACTAAGCACCACAGCATGGGGAGTTTTTGCATCGAAAGGAGATAATGTGAAAACAACGAGACACAGATTATACTGACGCAGCGTCACAAAAAGCTTTTCAGCAACAACCCGAAAGTGTTGGAGTTCATCAGTTTGGGCTCGCAGTCCCATAGACCATTTGGAACCCAGGTACATGCCGTCGCCAAATACATATCTGAAATCCAGTTAAAGCTACGGTACTATTATTGATTTACATTTTCATGCAGCGTGTTTTGTTTGTTGTAAGTGTTTTTTTATTCAAACACAGTTAATATAAGTACATTTATATTCAATAAATGTATAAGGTATAATACAGTGTTGGAATGTTTAATGTGAACATTGAGCAGCTCTTTATAGTTGCATTATTGCACATTTATGTTGAATCCATTTTTATCTGGAAAGTTTAGCGCTTTAGTTCATCCACTGCTTTTGCAGTTACTTGAACAAAGAGTTCAATTATTAAATACATTTTAGCATGATCATTTCCGGTATCGGCAGAAACCCATAGCTCTGGTATCGGTAGTAAAAAAGCTGGATCGGTGCATCTCTAGAAAGAGAGACCACAGACCACAGAGAGGGACCAGTGAGAGACCAGAGAGACCAGCGAGAGAAGCCAGAGTCTCGCATCTAAACACAAATATGTGTGTGTTATTTCTGAGGATTATTAAATCAGTTGTGACTTTGTTTTGACGACTTTGGGGAAAGTAAATCAGGTCCTTTGGTCTTTGTGGCTCAGAGGCACAAGGGCAGGAGGTTATCAGTATGTTATCAGGAGAGTAACCTGAACCACGACTTATCAGGAAGAGAACATATGAGCGGCCATTGGGACATTTCCTGATGTGACGGCGTGAGCAGAGAGACAATTGTACTACAGGTGGGGGAGACAGGAGGGGGAGATGGGGGGAGACAGGAGGCCTGGATAACAGAGGACCACAGTGAGCCTCCGGGCTGTAACAGGAGCAGGACGGCTGATACAGAGAGATGACCCTTCCCCACGACCTCCTGAATCTGCAGCTTCCAGGTGAGACTGGCCTGGAGTAATGCTGCTGTCTCTGGGTCTAAATGGGCGTCATGTTAGGCCTCATTCTGCACCAAAACTAATTTATTCAAATCCTTTTCCTTCTGTGGAATTATACACTATAAATATTTCATTGTTTTTAATTCTCTGGATGGGGGGGGGGTTCAGGGCATATGGTCCAAAGGAGAGGCCTGAATGAAGCACAATACAGTCAACATGCATCGCTATGCCATTGAGCAGAGCGGCCCGGCACAAAGCTCTAACAGGCGGAACCCTGAGGAGGCAGCGGAGGGCGGGGGCGTGAGAGTGTGCGGACCGCAGAGCACCGCTACACTTCCATCTCTGCGGCCGCTCGCTCCAACACCCGTCCACTCGGCTCATCCACTCTTTGTACTTTACTGTTACTGGTACTTTACTGGTGACATTCTGGTGTCACGGTGTCACCCTGAAATGGCTCCCCTCCCACGTCGCAGCCCGCGGCGCAGCAATCAGTCGAACAATAAAGTCCCAAAAAGTAGTGGCTGAAACCAAGGAGGCCCCAGCTGGGCGCAACGCCCTAACCCTTCCCCCTCCCTGGCTCCCATGAAATCGGGAATTAGCCAAAGCGTTGCTGACGACAAGTCAGTGTCTGTGTGTCCCGGGCTCTTCCCAGGGCCCAACAGGACCCAACAGGACCCAGGGTGGGACAGACACAGACAGAGCCACCAAGAGATGGGACCTTTGGGGGTCACAAAGGGCAACCTGTATGTACAATTATGGCCCTTGGCCCCTGGCATTTGTCCCTCACATGAGAGCGTGGGAGCTCGGACCTGGCAGAGAACAACCTTAAAATGGACACTTCTGTACGACACAGAAATCGGTCTCTGAAAATAAGAAACAAGAATATCTGACTTTATCATGGGTTCAGTTCTCACCTTTGGGTTTTCCAGGATCCCAGACTCGTAGCTGAAATAGAAGAGGAAAGATGTGTTTGAAATACTCTTATTGTCATCAGTCTAAAAATCCCAGGAGTGAATATGGACCTTATGTGCATCAGGTTGGCGTCCATGCTCCACGGCGCCTTCGGAGTGACAGGAACAGGAATACCATGTTTCTGGAAAGTAAAAAACATAAAGTCACGTTTTACAGTTTATTCAGTTGGATTTAAACGACAAACACAGATCAAATATAAGCTGGTTTCCAGCAATAAGAGAAACCAGCTCAGTTTCACAAAGGTCTTTCTGGAAGAGCAAGGACTCCCTCTAGTGGAACAGAACAGTACAGAGCCATCTGTCTCAGTGGATGCTGTTGCTGAGTAATTACAGATAGTAACACAACCGTAGTAACAACAGTAACACAACAACTCTCAAATAGACAGAACTTTAAAGAACAATCTTGAACAAATGGAATTCAACTGAAATAAAGTCTCTCTCTATCTCTCTCTCTCTCTCTACCTGAGCGAAGTCCATCAGGTCGGTGCGTCCCTTGAAGCGGTTGTAGAACTCTGGGATCCTCCAGGGAGCAATGATCTAAAACATTGAATGATGAATAGTTGTTAATTATTAATTATTATTCTAAAGTGGTGAATAGACGAGGAGATCCACAGGCACCTTGACCTCCGGGTACAGAGCGTAGCAGGTCAGTTCAAACCGGATCTGGTCGTTTCCCTAAAACACAAGAAGCTGGCATCAGTGGCTGGTTCTCTGTCTCCATATTGCGGCCAAATGCAGTACAATTCAAAAACTGGGGTAGCTTTTCAAACCACAAAATATGAATTAAACAATTCCTTCTTGTTTGTTCTTCAGACTCTGAATCGTCTCTAGCTCTAGTTCTCCACATTTGGTTTGGCCTCGGTCACTTCTGTACAGTCTCTATTCCAGTCTCTCAGGGTCTTGTTCTCAGTGAGGGAAGAATGCAGCGTCTCGTCAGTACTGTATCGGACTGTTGTGGTGAAGAGGGAGCAGCGTCTGCAGTCAGAGCTCTCATTTTACCCCACTAAAGGACGAGATCGCAGAAACAAGCAACACATGGGTCTGTTCTTCACAGAAACTGGACGCTCCCTCAGAGATAGGGGGAGGAGCTCAGGCACAGTACTTAAAATAGTTAATAGTTTTGTAATGTTTATTTATATAGACCTTTCTCAGACCAGAGTCAAAGTGGTTTACAGTTATTACATTAGTCTCTGACTCCACACAGAGATGGGAGGGGCCAGTACAGGAGCCACAGACCTATTGTACATGTTTTTAGTGGTAGGGGAAATCGGAGCACCCGGAGGAAACCTACACTTACACAGGGAGAACATGCAAACTCCACTCAGAAAGGCCCTGTTCCGACCGGGATTTGAACCCAGGACCTTCTTGCTGAGAGGAGAGAGTGCTAACAACTCAGCCATTTGTTATGAACTTCTGATTCTTTTGCTTTGTTTTGTTGTTTGTATTTTAAATCTGTAGCACTTTGAGGTTTCCTGGAAGTGTAAAAGGTGCAATATAAATAAAATGTATTATTATTATTATCCATCCATCCATCCATTTTCTTCCGCTTTATCCGTTGCCGGGTCGCGGGGGCAGCAGTCTAAGCAGAGACGCCCAGACTTCCCTATCCACACACACTTCCTCCAGCTCGTCCGGGGGGACCCCAAGGCGTTCCCAGGCCAGCTGAGAGACATAGTCCCTCCAGCGTGTCCTGGGTCTTCCGCGGGGCCTCCTCCCGGTGGGACGTGCCCGGAACACCTCCCCAGGGAGGCGTCCAGGAGGCATCCGGAACAGATGCCCGAGCCACCTCAACTGGTTCCTCTCGACGTGGAGAAGCAGCGGCTCTACTCCGAGCTCCTCCCGTGTGACTGAGCTCCTCACCCTATCTCTAAGGGAGCGCCCAGCCACTCTGCGGAGGAAGCTCATTTCGACCGCTTGTATCCGCGATCTCGTTCTTTCGGTCATTACCCAAAGCTCATGACCATAGGTGAGGGAGGGAACGAAGATTGACCGGTAAATCGAAGAGCTTTGCCTTTCGGCTCAGCTCCCTCTTCACCACAACGGTCCGATACAGCGACCGCATAACTGCGCACGCTGCACCGATCCGCCTGTCAATCTCACGCTCCATTCTTCCCTCACTCGTGAACAAGACCCCGAGATACTTGAACTCCTCCACTTGAGGAAGGACCTCTCCACCCACCTGCAGAGGGCAAGGCACCTTTTTCCGGTCGAGCACCATGGCCTCGGATTTGGAGGTGCTGATTCTCATCCCAGCCGCTTCACACTCGGCTGCAAACCGCCCCAGTGCATGCTGCAGGTCCTGGTTCGTTGGAGCCAACAGGACAACATCGTCCGCAAACAGCAGAGATGAAATCCTGTGGTCTCCGAACCGGACCCCCTCCGACCCCTGGCTGCGCCTAGATATTCTGTCCATAAATACAGTGAACAGAACCGGTGACAAAGGGCAGCCCTGTCGGAGGCCAACATTCACCGGGAACAGGTCTGACTTACTGCCGGCAATAGCGAACACAGCTCTGGCTCCGGTCATACAGGGATCGAGATCGCCCTCAGCAGAGGACCTCCGACCCCGTACTCCCGGAGAACCCCCCAAAGGACACCCCGGGGAACACAGTCGAACGCCTTCTCCAAATCCACAAAGCACATGTGGACAGGTTGGGCGAACTCCCATGAACCCTCGAGTATCCGATGGAGAGTATAGAGCTGGTCCAGTGTTCCGCGACCGGGACGAAAACCACACTGGCTCCTCCTGGATCCGAGATTCGACCATCGGCCGTAACCTCCTCTCCAGTACCTTGGAGTAGACCTTACCGGGGAGGCTGAGGAGTGTGATCCCACGATAATTGGAACACACCCTCCGGTCCCCCTTCTTGTAGAGAGGGACCACCACCCCGGTCTGCCACTCCATTGGCACTGCCCCCGATCGCCACGCGACTGTTGCAGAGACGTGTCAGCCAAGACAGTCCTACAACATCCAGAGACTTTAGATAGTCAGGGCGGATCTCATCCACACCCGGAGCCTTGCCACCATGGAGGCTACCAACCACCTTGGTGACCTCAGCCAGGGAGATGGATGTACCCGCCCCAACATCCTCAGCCTCTGCCTCTGTAACGGAGGACGTGGACGGGGGGATTGAGGAGAACCTCAAAGTATTCCTTCCACCGCCCGACAATATCCCCAGTCGAGGTCAGCAGCTCTCCACACGCACCGTACATGGTGCTGGCAAAGAACTGCTTCCCCCTCCTGAGGCGTCGGATGGTTTGCCAGAATCTCTTCGAGGCCGACCGATAGTCATGCTCCATGGACTCTCCGAACTCCTCCCAGTCCCGGGTTTTTGCCTCTGCAACAGCCCGGGCCGCGGCACGCTTGGCCTGCCGGTACTGGACAGCTGCCTCAGGAGTCCCCCGAACCATCATGGCTCGATAGGACTCCTTCTTCAGCCTGACAGCATCCCTTACTGCCGGTGTCCACCACCGGGTTCGGGGGGTTGCCGCCGGGACCAGCACCAGAGACCTTGCGACCACAGCTACGAGCCGCCGCATCGGCGATAGAGGAAGAGAACATGGTCCACTCGGACTCCATGTCCCCCTCCTCCGCCGGGACCCTGGGAGAAACTCTCCCGGAGGTGTGAGTTGAAAGTCCGTCTGACAGGGGGCTCAGCGAGACGTTCCCAGCAGACCCTCACTATACGCTTGGGTCTGCCAGGTCTGACCGGCTTCTTCCCCTGCCAGCGGATCCAACTCACGACCAGGTGATGATCGGTTGACAGCTCCGCCCCTCTCTTTACCCGAGTGTCCGAGACACGCGGTCGAAGGTCAGATGATACGACAACAAAGTCGATCATCGACCTCCGGCCTAGGGTGTCCTGGTGCCACGTGCACTGGTGGACACCCTTGTGCTCGAACATGGTGTTCATGATGGACAAACCGCGACTGGCACACGAAGTCCAACAACTGAACACCGCTCGGGTTCAAATCAGGGGGGGCCGCTCTTCCCGATCACCCCTCTCCAAGTGTCACTGGCGTTTCCCACATGGGCGTTGAAGTCCCCCAGGAGAATAACGGAGTCCCCGGGCGGTGCACCGTCCAGTACCCCTCCCAAGGACTCCAAGAAGGCCGGGTACTCTACACTGCCGTTAGGCCCGTAGGCCGTCACAACAGTGAGAAACTTGTCCCCCACCCGGAGGCGGAGGACGCGACCACTCTCATTCACCGGGGAGAACTCCAACACGTGGCGGCTGAGATGGGGGGCAATGAGAATGGCCACCCCAGCTCGCCGCCTCTCCCCGCGGGAAACTCCAGAAAAGTGGAGCGTCCAACCCCTCTCAAGGAGTTGGGTTCCAGAGCCCAAGCTGTGTGTGGAGGTGAGGCCGACTATCTCTAGTCGGTATCGCTCAACCTCCCCCACGAGCTCGGGCTCCTTCCCCCCCAGTGAGGTGACGTTCCACGTCCCAAGAGCCAGATGTTGTGTGTGCGGACTGGGTCGCCGAGGTCTCCGCCTTCGACTGCCGCCCAGTCCTCTCAGCACCGCTTCACCACGGACCCCTCTGCAGGTGGTGGGCCCACAGGAGGGACTGCCCACGTCATCCCTTCGGGCTGAGCCCGGCCGGGCCCCGTGGGCTAAGGCCCGGCCACCAGGCGCTCGCATACGGGCCCCGACCCCAGGCCTGGCTCCAGGGTGGGGCCCCGGCTGCGCCATGCCGGGCGACGTCACTGTTTTCATTTCTGTGCTGTCCATGGTGTCTTCTGGACTGCTCTTTGTCTGACTCGTCACCTGAGACCTGTCTGCCATGGGAGGCCCTACCAGGGGCATGAAGCCCCAGACAGCATAGCTCCCAGGATCATCCGAGTACTCAAACTCCCCCACCACGTTAAGGTGGCAGTCCAGGGGGGGAGATATTATTATTATTATTATTATTATTATTATAGTATTAAAATGCGACAGCCCTTTGGCCACAGCAGCATAGGTGGAGCAGGGGAGTGGGACAGTACGTAGCTCCTGTTCTACCTTCCCAGTTGCACCATGGGAGACATATTGGGCGCCCTCCTTACGAGCGACCTCCACCTGGCGGCGGGCGATGCACGGTCGGGCGACCGCGGTGCCGAGCAGGTAGCGGTCCTCGTACACGGCGTTGGCCTGAACCGCCGGCCAGATGAAGTCCTGCACGAAGGCCTCGCGCAGGTCCTCAATGAACACCTTCAGGAGACACAGGGTTTAGTTTCAGAGAAGGGTTGTGCTATACAGATAAACTGTCCTGTCAGAAGGAACGGTGTCTTTTAACTCTGTATGAACTGAGTGACATCAACACTGTACAGATGGACAATGCTAACACGCTAGCTCTTTTAAAGAAAATAGGGAAGTGCTCATGTACAACATTTTTGCTCCAACTCGCAGCTGTTGTGAAAGTAACCTCCTCTCGCTCAGTCACCATCATGGGTTCAAACCATCAGACTCAGGACCAGCAATGGCACCAGGTTTGTGTGAAGTAGAGCTGAAACAACTAATCGATTTAATCGATTAAAATCGATTATTAAAATAGTTGTCAACTAATTTAGTCATCGATTAGTTGCTAAATAACTTTTATTTTGCCGTAAGCGGCTCATTTCGTGCATATTTTAACTCTGCGGTGACCAAATGGTGGCAGTAATGAGCCACCGGAGGTTTTACAGCAGGAGAAGTAGCGAATAGCCAATAGCTGGCCTCCTTTTATGTCACATGCTTCGCGCACAGCTTCTCTTCAGCATACAGCAAGATGGCGGAGGCAAGCGGAGTAAGCTCGAGAAAAAAAAGGAAAAAAGCAGAAGACAAACCTAATCGAACGAAGTCATCCAAAGTGTGGGAGCACTTTACTTTGAACCTTCAAAAAAGAAGAGTAACCTGTAAACTCTGCGCTACTGACTTGGCCTGGCACGGGAGTACTACGTCTCTGCGTGAGCACCTTAAACCATCTCTCTGCAGTACTGACTGTTTGCAAAAGATGGCGCCACACTCACTGTTTTAGGCATAAAGTTGATCTTTCAAATAATTTGCACAAAGATGTAAAAAAAAAAAAACATTTATCAGTTTATCAACTTAAATAAGCCTTGTTCGGGATTTTAAACTACTTCAGAAGCCCTAAGGATTTTCATGGTGAAAACATTATTGGAAATCTCCTTGTGAAATTTGCTAGAGTATGTAACGGTCAGTGTTTTGTTTTGATGGTCAACATTGAGTTCACTAAAGGATTACAAAGACATAATAAACAGCTCCAGTTAAGTTTTTGATGTGGATATGAATATGTAAAATGGTTAAAATCTCTAAAAAGTCTATGTTGAATGATGAAGGCCCTTTGTTAACAATTTACTTGGAAAAAAATTGGCAAAACTAAAATATAAGTACATAAACCGATTAATCGATTAATCGTAAAAATAATCGCCTGATTAATCGATTATCTAAATAATCGTTAGTTGCAGCCCTAGTGTGAAGGAAACACCAGAAATGTGAGCGTGAACACCTTTGTTGCTCCCAGTTTCTTTGCCTTCTCCCGAGCTGCGTCAAAGTCCTCCTCCTGCCCAATGTCAGCCTGCAGGAAACAAGAGGAAGAAGAATAATAATAAGAATAAAATAATGCATGAGTTCTATTTTGGACGCCCAAAGTCTCTTCACATCATTATTATTTCTCTCCAAACACGGTGGTGATAAACTACTGTAGTCACAGCTGCCCTGGGGCACACTGACAGAAGCAGCCAGTCTGTGCAATTGGCCCCTCCCACCACCGCACCACCACAGACTGTACAGATGCAAAACTTGCTGGAGCTTCCTGCAGCAACGCGGCTAAAGCTTGTTTATTTATTTTGTAAGAGCGAGATCAGGAACAGATTTGGAAACCAGAGCATCCTGCTTCAGTCGTTTATGTGAACAGCAGAGCGACAAGGAGGTTTTATGTGATAAGGGCTGTTAAGGCAGATGAGGGTGAGGGAAGGCGGGTGAGTGCGGGTGAGGGCAAGTTCACACAAGTTCTTTCAACAAGTCACAAAGTCTCAGAAGAAATCTTTATCAAATGAAAATAACCTTTTTATCTGAGTAACAGAACCTTCTGTGAGGCCAGTCTCTCTGTGACTGTTTCTTTATGTAGTTTATTTCTTCTATGTAATTATTATTCATGAAATTATCTTCGTAGAGAAGTGCTAGTAACCATAGCAACACACTGTTAACTTGCTAACAGTTAGCATTAGCTGTGTTTAGAATAGAATAGAATAGAATAGATCTTTATTGTCTGTTCAAATTGAGCATGATCATTCATAAAACACACATAAAATACATTTAAAACACATAAAAAATATATTTCATAATTTATTTAAGGTATTTAAAACAGTCCACCTGCTGGCCGTGGATGACTAGGGGTTGAAAAAGATCCACAGAGTCTGTTTTCCTAAAAGTCATATTCACAGACAGTTGCACTTATTAAAAGTGAGGTGTTGGTCGAGGCTCTGATGGTCCAGTGTGTTCTGGTCTCTCCCCCCTCATCACCGAGTGGAGCGAATGGAACAATATCTGAACTTTGTAAACTCTTTGGGTGACCTCGCGCTGTAAAAATGTACTATTTAAATAAACATTACTCTTACAAATGAATCTGAAAGCGCAAATTCAGACTGAAAGACCAGCCACAGCTCTCACCGTCCAGGGCCTGCCAGGGCCAGCCAATCACACAGCTCTGCCAGCCTCAGCCAATCACGCAGATCTGCCAGCCTCAGCCAATCACGCAGATCTGCCAGCCTCAGCCAATCACGCAGATCTGCCAGCCTCAGCCAATCACGCATCTCTGCCAGCCTCAGCCAATCACGCATCTCTGCCAGCCTCAGCCAATCACACAGCTCTGCCAGCCTCAGCCAATCACACAGCTCTGCCAGCCTCTTGACAACCCACTGACAGCAAAGCGGGCAGTTAAAAAGCAGCCACTCCCCAATAGGTCAGCACTAGATCATACACGGAATCTGGACGGAAGCGGAAGTAAATATAACAAACTACCTATTCATGCCTAAACTTAACGATCCATTCCCATAAAATAACCCCAACCCACCCTTAACCCTAACCTTAACCATCTTACTCAGACGCCTAAAACTTAACCAGTCACCACTTAAGGACTTTTAAGTCTAAAACTAATTCGAAAGTAGGAGTGTTACTTCTGGTTTCGTCCCGATTCCGTATATGATCTAGTACTGACCCTCCCCGATAAACGGCGCTTCCTGGAGCTCTTAACACCTGGCTCCTGCTCTAGGCTCCTGCTCTAGGCTCCTGCTCTAGGCTCCTGCTCTAGGCTCCTGCTCTAGGCTCCTGCTCTAGGCTCCTGCTCTAGGCTCCTGCTCTAGGCTCCTGCTCTAGGCTCCTGCTCCCCATTCACACCATACTCTAGCCGCCACCAGTGCTTGACCCCGGGGGGTCTGAGATCATCTACAGCAGCAGATGATCTCCGCTCTGCAAGTGTCACTGCCGGGGTCAATGCGCAAATCAAATAAATCTTTCTAATGCATTAATGTTTCTGTCTTGGTCTCTTCAGATTGAAAGCGCTGCATCAAACAGTGAGGGCCACGTGGTTCCTCCAACACTCCATAAACCAACAAACCAGAGGCAGAAGAGAACAATGTGCTAACGGGGCAGTTCTAATGTTCCGGGGCAGTTAAGCTGGATCTGCCCAGGCCTTTGTGGACCCAGCGTTTCAAAACATGAAAAACACATTTATACTGAGACGAAGAGATGCTTTGTGGATCTCACAGTGAATAAAGACAAAAATAAAAGAATAAGTGAATATGAAGTTGCCACGCTCTTTGATTGGGAAAGACATAAAACCAACAGTCTCCAGAACCGGTTCCACAGCTCCTGCCATGACTCGACATGGTTACCGTGCAAAACAACCATAACGTGCCTTACCAAATATGCGATGACGTCATAGCCCTGTTCTTTGAGCCAGACCAGGATACAGGACGTGTCCAAACCCCCGCTGTAGGCCAAGACCACTGAGCCTTTGGACATGATGAGCCTCCACTGCCAACGGGACATAATACAGGACTTATAATCACACATGGTACAAGATCACACATGGTGGAAGACTACACATGGTTTTAGTCTGTAACATAATACAGGACTTATAATCACACATGGTGGAAGATCACACATGGTTTTAGTATAATACATGACTTATAATCACACATGGTTTTAGACTGGAACATAATATATGACTTATAATCACACATGGTTGAATATTACACATGGTGGATTATTACACATGGTTGTAGCCGTTCGTAGCACGGTTTAGTTTAGCTCAGCACCTGTTGCACTTCTTACTAACGTGTAATAATAGTTTCATCTCATGCTCTGCCTTTCAGACAGTCCCAACAGAGACGCGCTTCTTTAACTGCGTCACAAACACGAACTGTCCGTGCCAACCCGTGCCAACCCGTGCTAACCCGTGCTACATTTCCCCGTTCTGGTAGCGTTACAACCCGTGACAGACACAGTCCCCTGGGAGTAAGAAGAACATGGTGTAGTTACCGATAGTCTGCCGCTGGATACGAGTCTGGGCCACACCACGTGCTCTGCGCTGAAAGCGCTTCTCACCGGTTTATATGAATGAAATGTGACGTCATCTGTAGAGCCCTCCCTTTCAACCAATCACGGCTCGGAGAAAATACTGTGTGGTGATTTAGATCTTTTTTTCCCAGGTGTAAAAAAAACAAGACAAAAGAAAAGCGAAATGAAAAGAGAAGTTAAAAACAGGAGATAACTGGACTCAGGTGAAACATGTTTGTATCAAGATGAATAGATACTTTATTGGTCCCACTGTGGAAATGTCAGTGTTGCATCAGCAGTCACAGAACAGGACTGAGGAGCCTCACGATGCTGTAAACCCACAACTATATACACAGCATTTTATACTTGCTCCTTTTTCTGCTAAAGATAGATTTAATACTGCTTCTTTTTAAGCTAGAGTTAGACATTATCGAAATGTCCCCACTGTGGGACGAATAAGGGAATTCTTATCTTATTTAATTTTATGTCATTTTAGTGTTTAGTTATTGTTCATTTGTCTTGTGCCGTATGTTCCTCATTCCTGTTTTGTTACTTGTGACACAACACAGTGAAGCATCTGTTAATCTTAATCTTATTAAGCACAAATGAGAGCTGCCACCAATGCTCACAGGACCAGTTCCTCTGCAGGTGGGGGGGGGGTCCACATGAAGACAGCTGCTCCGTCAGTGGTGCCACAGCCTTAGTGTTTCAGCGGGAGCTCCTTAATTCATTATTACTTTGTTCAAATGTTCATAAAGCTACTGCACATGTTAGCAACAATGGACACAGGTGCTCTCCCATATTGCACATTAGTCCTCATTGTTCATTGTACAATCCGACAGTAGCAGCAGGGAAAGCCCTGCGGAACCTCTTCTTCACATAGCGAGGGTGGATCAGTCTGTCCCTGAAGCTGCTCTCCGTATTGAGGAAAGGACTTTATTAGCACTTTAGCATAGGACCCTAGGATGGGAACATTGCTTTGTTAGCACTTTAGCGTTAGCATTATTGGCACTAGAGTAAGGATAGAGCAGACCGACAGTACGTTCTACCCATAAACAGGTTCTTCCCTTTATATTTGTTTCAACATATAATTTGTACTTTTTAACATAACTCTTCATATTTTATATAACATTTCATTTTATTTTCTACTCCTTAAAGACCAACCTCTGATATTCCCAAAGTGAAACATAAACATAACGCAGGAGAAAACCTTTTTATTTCTTTACCATGAACTTTAAGAAAAAAAAACTCTGGTCAAAAATACATTATAAAGTCTGACATGACACATAATTATTCGTATTTTATAAACAGCAAAAAGCACTGAGCAAAGACACAGTGGTGGCTCTGCTTAGTCCTCTTGGCGAGCCTCGAAGATGATGAAGATGAGAAGATGGAGCCTCCTTAGACTCACAGGAGACTCCAGTCCTGAAACTAAGGATTTCTGCATGATCTAAATGAGGCGTGACATCACTTGGCGGTGGTCCATAACACAGCTCTGTCCTCATGCACCTACAGCGACCGGTGGAGTCAGTCCACCAGGGGGCAGAAGGCGTTTCCAGTCACGGATTGAAATCTGTCCAAATCATCGGCTTCTCGCCAACAAAAACAAAAACAACACAAATACATCTCTGTGGCACGAAGCGCATCTCTGCATTCTACCTTTCAACTGGTTTGTTAAAACGGCGTTAACTTTGGGTGTAAAACAGAAGAAGAAATCTATGGAGGTGGTCTGGACATAGAAAACAGATGGACCCAGGTGGGGAGGGTCCGTTGTCCTTGGCAGTGGGGGGGTACCTTGAGGGGCTGCGACGTCCACCCCACCTTAACAATTACCACTCCTTCTTCTTCTCGTCCATGGAGACTCCCCCAGGTCCTAGTGCCACCACCAGCAGCAGCCCGCCGATGACTGAGGTGGTCTGAAAGAAGTCGTACTTGAGGAAGTCGTGCATGGGTTTGTAGGCGGGGATGGTCCAGAAGGCGTTGAAGTAGACGTTGATCGCCAGGAGCCAAATAACAAGTGTCAAAGCGGCAAGTTTGGTTTTGAAGCCGATGGCGACCAGGATGATAAGGGCGGTGCCGACCATGTTCTGCAGGATCTGAACACAGGGACAGTTTCAGAACAGGATCATGGCAGCAGTTTATACACAAGGCAACTCAAAGGCCTGAACAAAACAACAAATAATTACAGTGCATTAAAACCATAGACTGTATATATTAACGGACAGAGTCACACCTATCTCCGCCGTTCTAACTAATGGGCCAAAAAATGTGCTCTACTGGAGCTATCCAAAATGGCTGCGAGTGGTCCCGCCAACAAGAAAATTGTGAAAAAACGCATCTGCGCATGCGTCAGGCGGCGCAGCTCCCTTCATTTAAACGAGACTCTTCAAAAATTCACAGCAAATAAACTAGAGTGGACCAAAAAAATTCACTCCCCTCAGCATTGACACACATGTGGAACGGAGCTTTGGGCCAAGAGCCAACTTTTGGTCCATCCTGTAAAGACGTTTTTGAGAGGTCTGCCAATGCAATATGTTAGCATTGGCTATTCTTCTTCTGGGTCCACCCCCATCGGCCCGGGGTGGTATTGCAGCATGTCAGCGCACGTCATTTTGGCCACTTTTGAGCCGAAACCTGCCCCCCACTGATTAAAACAAGTGATTTTAGCTGCAACAGATATTAGCATTTCAGATTTAAGCAGCCGTTTCCCCAGAACAGTCCCTGTGCTCCTCAGACTCTTGAGACTGGCCTCCTGCTGGGACTCTGAGTCGGTTCAAATGGCACTGATGTATTTTGGTGTGAGGCCTTGAGACACAGGCAGAGCTGCTTTAAAGCCAGTGCTAAGACCTGAGACCTGGACTAATGAGAAAGTACTTCCTGGGTCGAGTCAGGACTGGAGCAGGATCAGAGGTCTGTTGTATGGATGACCCACATATAGAGTTTATTGGAAGTCATCTTTGCCTCAACATCTTACGTCAACAAATATCCCATAACATACTGCAGTCGTTTGTCTAGTGCCCTGACCAGTCCTGGGTCGCGGCAGGAAAACGCTCTAAAAGCACAGTAGAAGTGAAGATGTTTGCACTTGTTACTCAGAAACAGGTGAAGCCGCCTTAGTCCAGTCCTCAGCTCGGTGTGGGCTCGGTGTGGGTGAGCGCTGAGGTGGACTAAGTACTTTTGCTGATACAACTGGAAAAGTCTGAGTGGGCGGGGCCTTAATGAGGTGAAAAGCCCGAGCCGTGTTTGAACAGAGACGATAATGGACTTCACCAAACACACAGCAGCCATTAGATACACACAGTCAGAAACCAGAGAGAGACCAGAGAGAGAGACCAGAGAAAGACAGACCAGAGAAAGAGACCACAGAGAGAGACCACAGAGAGAGAGACCAGAGAGAGAGACCAGAGAGAGAGACCAATAAAAGTCATTTGCAGCATTAATGGTAATACGGATGTGTTAGTGTGGCCACCACCATGGCACGTTATTCCTCATTTTAAAGCCCATTTTCTTCACAACATTTATTTCATGTTCACATTTTAACCCATGTTTTTAGACATCGTTAAAACAATACAAATGTTTTGTCTGTTTCTATTTATGTAGCATCGCTCCCCCACACCTTCCGTGTTGAACCCAAACCCTTTGGCTGTGTGGACACTCACGGAGAAGAAGTTGGAGTCAAAGTGCAGCAGCGTCATGAACATCAGCACCAGCAGCACGCGGCCCCCCAGCTGCATGTACTGTTTGGGGGAACTCTCTCCCATTGACGGCACTCCAGCAAACATGCTCTTCCCCTCAGAGCGAGACTCTGCCAGCAGCAGCAGCAGCCCACCGCCCAGGGCCAGGTTCCTGAGACAGGGACAGCACACAGGGTGAGGACCATGGGTGAGGACCATGGGTGAGGACCATGGGTGAGGACCATGGGTGAGGACCATGGGTGAGGACCATGGGTGAGGACCATGGGTGTGGAGGCAGAAGAGAGATGAGAGAGAGCGTGGAGAGAGTGAGAGAGAAAGAGTGGAGAGAGAGAGAAGAGAGAGAGCGGAGAGAGAGAGGAGAGAGTGAGGAGAGAGAGAGCCGAGAGAGAGAGCAGAGAGAGAAAGAGGAGAGAGAGAGAGAGAGAGAGAGAGAGAGGGCGGAGAGAGAGAGAGCGAGAGAGAACGGAGAGAGAGAGCGGAGAGAGAGCAAGAGCGAGAGCAAGAGCGAGAGCGAGAGCGAGAGCGAGAGCGAGAGCGAGAGCGAGCAGAGAGAGAAAGAGAGCGGAGAGAGAAAGAGCAGAGAGAGAAAGAGAGCGGAGAGAGAGAAGAGAGAGCGGAGAGAGAGAAGAGGAGAGAGAGGAGAAAGAGAGTGGGTGGAGAGAAGGAGCAGAGAGAGGGCAGAGAGAGGCATTCAGATGGGAACAGGTTTGAAGGACAGAGAGAGAGAGAGAGAGAGAGAGGAGAGCGACTGGCGAGAGGGTTCGGGGGAGAGAATGGAGAGAGAGCAGAGTGTAGAGACCAGAGAGAGTGACCAGAGAGAGTGACCAGAGAGAGTGACCAGAGAGAGTGACCAGAGAGATGCTTCTGAATCAGGGTTAATGTTGCTTTTTACCAAAGTCTATGAAACATTCAAGATGACACCCACCTCATCAAGAACTTGAGGTCCCATAAAATACTGTAAGCTACGGTCTGCAACAAAAACAAGACAATTACACAACATTTCACACAATTACTTCCAAAAAGACGAAGAAAACCGAGTTCACCTGAAGTGCAATGATCCCAAATAATCCAAAACAGGCGTATTGTACAAAGTTTCTACTGAGGATGAGGACGCAGCCGCCTGAAAGAGAGAGACCCAGGAAGAGAGAGACCCCGGTGCATTAAGGAAACGGCTAAATCAATCTGAACTCATACTGCATTTTAAAACATGTGGGTAACACTTCAAAACCCTACTGAACCCGAACCCACAGGGGAGTTATGTTAGAAGTTTGTGGGAGCGGACCCCTCTCTCAATGTGGGCCTTCCAGGAGGGTTTCTCACTATATCCCACTTACATAAAGACAGTGTTGAGGATCCAGGACTCTCCACATTCAACAACATTTATGGACATTTATGGACAGTGCTCATCTGCCGCTTATGGACCAATTTATCTGTGTTTTTCATCTTTTTCTAGACTAGACTCAGACCTGGATCTAGGGTAGGGTAGGGTAGGGTAGGGTAGGGTGGATGGAATTGGGATGTACTTTATATTAAAAATGAGGTTTTGTTGAGAGTAGAACCAAACTTCAAGTGTAACACTGTTGCTTTGTCCGTTTCATGTGAACCATAAAACCATGATTTAAAAGTTGCAGATGAATTAGAACATTCGAAAAGCGTGTGGGTGTGTGCTCACCGAGCTGCCCGACAAGGTTCAGCAGGACAAAGCACGTGGCCAGGAAGTACCCGCAGCTCCAGGTGGCCTCGATGTAGTCCCGCTGCTCATTCCACTGGAACCACATCCGGATCCCGTCCTCCAGGAAGGTACTGATGAGGCAGAGCCGGGCCACGTGCGGCAGATACTGCTTCGTGACCCGCAGGAACTGGGCCACACACAAACAAACTGTCAGCTTTCTTCCAATCACAACCGCGGCCCAAAAGATGTGAGGATAGCGGCTTATTAAAGGAGCGCGAGGTCTGTACAGAGAAATATCAGACCTCGGCCTTTTTGCAAAAAGACCAAGGTACACACCGAGCCGTGGCGAGGTTAATACATGTTTTATTATATGACTATTTTTAATTTGTGCAAATATCGATCGGTTTCAACGAAAAACACATTTGACCAGACTGTCAAATGATAAACTCTTTGAATGAGAAGGTGTCCAAACTTTTGCTCTGTGCTGCACTAAGTATAAAGAGTTATACAGTGTTATTGTATATTCTACATGTGTTCTCCGTGTTGTGTCCCAATTATTAGATTGAATTTTTTACGACTGCTAAAAGTAGCTCTCTGCCTCTTCTTTTGTATAGAAGTAGCTCGCTGATTGAAAAAGTTTGGACACCCCAGCCTTTGACAGAGAAACATAACATTTAAGAAAGAAGTTGAATAAACTAACTCAGCTTTATCTAATAGTAAAAACACTTCAGGCCCCAGAGTTTCAGACACAAGATGGAGCCCAGTTTTCTTCAAAAGCTTCAATAAGAGAAAAGACAAAGAAAATCACAGGAAAGAAAGAAAAGTAAGAAACTTGATATCACTGTAAACAGAAAGAGTCCTGTGTTATTATTGTCATTATTATTATGTTGACAATCTGCACTGTTTAAGAGATCAGTGGGAAATGTCAGTGTTGCAACAGCAGCATAAAAGTATAACTGTAACTTTAGCATAATAAAGAAGCAGGTCTCAGGTCTATTGTGTATATTTAAATATTAGAATGTCTAAGACTGATGTAAAGGCAGGTGTTAAAATATGTTTTTACTCTTTTATAAGTTGTTTGTGACTTCCTGTTACTTACAAAGGCAATTACAGGACTTCTGATTCTGATTTCATAATTCTTTCAATGCCAGAAGAATCTAAATGAATCTAGTCTATAGCATCCCGCGGAGGCTTTGGAGCTTTACCCCGCCCCTAGCCCCGCCCCTTTGGCCGTCCACATCAGCACAGTCCAGCAGCCAATCAGCTCGTCCCAACTCCCTGTAAACTGCTGTGAATGAATGAGCAGGACAGGCCCCTCCCACTCCGGACTAGAAATAGACTCACTGCCAGCACCAAACAGAGAGAGAGAAGCTGAAACTTTGCCTTTTACATGTTTTTCATTAATGCTTCTTCATAAACAGAAGTAAAACTAAAATACAGAAGAAAAACAAAGTGGGAAAGACGCCGGCGACAAAAGAACAAAGCAGTGAGACATGATCAAATAAGGAAGCAGAACCGTTTTTACTGGAGAGCTTCCGTGACATTGCAAACCCTGGTCCAAAAGTGAAAGAAAACATTCTTGTGTTTGTGAAATCTTCAGAAGAATGTCCATGACAACAGTGAAGTGAAGACAGTCACCATAGGTTCTAATCCCAACAGAAACAAAGTAAATACATCTCTCATGACTAATCACACATGACCCAAGATTTAGGATTTACAAGCAATTTCACAACTGCTGAGTACGTCTGTCTGGCTGCTTTAAAGTCCTGGGTCTACTTGTGACCTGGTCCTGGGTCTACAGCCTCAGTCTCGGTCCTGGGTCTACAGCCTCAGTCTCGGTCCTGGGTCTACAGCCTCAGTCTCGGTCCTGGGTCCTACAGCCTCAGTCTCGGTCCTGGGTCTACAGCCTCAGTCTCGGTCCTGGGTCTACAGCCTCAGTCTCGGTCCTGGGTCTACAGCCTCAGTCTCGGTCCTGGGTCTACAGCCTCAGTCTCGGTCCTGGGTCTACAGCCTCAGTCTCGGTCCTGGGTCTACAGCCTCAGTCTCGGTCCTGGGTCTACAGCCTCAGTCTCGGTCCTGGGTCTACAGCCTCAGTCTCGGTCCTGGGTCTACAGCCTCAGTCTCGGTCCTGGGTCTACAGCCTCAGTCTCGGTCCTGGGTCTACAGCCTCAGTCTCGGTCCTGGGTCTACAGCCTCAGTCCGGCCCTGGGTCTACAGCCTCAGTCTCGGCCCTGGGTCTACAGCCTCAGTCTCGGCCCTGGGTCTACAGCCTCAGTCTCGGCCCTGGGTCTACAGCCTCAGTCTCGGTCCTGGGTCTACAGCCTCAGTCTCGGTCCTGGGTCTACAGCCTCAGTCTCGGTCCTGGGTCTACAGCCTCAGTCTCGGTCCTGGGTCTACAGCCTCAGTCTCGGTCCTGGGTCTACAGCCTCAGTCTCGGTCCTGGGTCTACAGCCTCAGGCTCGGCCCTGGGTCTACAGCCTCAGTCTCGGCCCTGGGTCTACAGCCTCAGTCTCGGTCCTGGGTCTACAGCCTCAGTCTCGGTCCTGGGTCTACAGCCTCAGTCTCGGTCCTGGGTCTACAGCCTCAGTCCTGGGTTCACAGCCTCAGTCCTGGGTCTACAGCCTCAGTCCTGGGTCTACAGCCTCAGTCCTGGGTCTACAGCCTCAGTCCTGGGTCTACAGCCTCAGTCCTGGGTCTACAGCCTCAGTCCTGGGTCTACATACATATTTAAACATTAATGTCACAGCATGTTTTAACACTGTGCATGATTGCTTCACTGCTGGTTCGTGTTGGAAGTTCTCTGGGACACACCAAATTACAAATTACAACATTTTAGAACAGAAAATGTGGTTCATAAATTGGACATTATTTTCAGGCCGCATCAACTCACACCCTGCGGCCAAACACGGCTGTCGTGCACATTGGGTAACTGCTAAATCTACAAACACACGTCAACATGTCAAACCCACGTTAGCAGCTAGCATGCTACTGCTACTAGCCGCTACATGCTACATGCTACAGTGGAGTTACCTGGTCCGCCACGTCCTCGGCTGTGTTCATCAGATCCTCTTGCCCCATATTTCCAGGATATATGTGAAAGTGTGATATCTGAGGCTCAGTGGCACAGTTTTCTGGCGTTGTCGTCTCCGCAAACGCGTTATTTACTTGAAGATTTCCCCAGATCCGCCCCACAATGCTGCGCGGTCTGACGGAAGCCCCCCCCAGCGGTGACTGCAACCTCCGCCTGCCACGTATACGTCTGTGCCCACTGCAAACTACCACAGCCATGGAAACACTCAGCATCAATAATCCTCATCTAACACTGGGATTATAGACTGAGACAGGTTTGTTGCACTCTCAAAAGTCTAGATTAAGATGATGTGGGAAATTCCAGTGTTGCATCACCAGTTACAGTAGGGATGTGGAGTACAAGAGAAATTAATAAGTACATACTAAAATAACATCTCTAGGATAAAATCTGTCTCTTTAGCAGAATAAAGTATAAAATAATGTATATTCAGTAAATAAACAGTTGCATGTTTACATCTGTACCTATGATCTGTACATGTGCAGCGTGAGGCTCGGGGATGAAGGGAGTAAAGTGACACGTTTTTCTATATTGCACATTCTGACATCATTCAAATATTGCACAGACGCGTGAGGTTAGGTCGGCCGTGTTCATTTGTCCTCATTGTTCGTTGTACAGTCTGACACCTGCAGGAAGGAAAGACCTGAGGAACGTCTCCTCCACACAGCGAGGGTGGATCAGGCTTCTACACCTTACGTTGATGGATTTTTAAAATTCGAGAAGAAATGAAATATATATATATATCATATTTACAATATTTACATTCCTTTTATCGTTATGTTTCCTTCTGCGCTTACACTACATACATACATATGTATGTATTATATATATGATATATATACATATATATATATCATATATATACACATTGATTATATATATATATATATATATATATAAAATAGTGCTGTCCAACGATTAAAATATTTAATCGCGATTAATCGCATGAATTTCATAGTTAACTCGCGATTAATCGCAAATTAGTCACACATTTGCGTGCTGTGTGCAATTGCTTTTTTTATTGAAAACAATGTGTAGTGTTATATTACACACTAACATTTGATGCAAAATCATCAATAAATGGATGACAAAATAAATAATTGGTAACAAAAAGCCCCTTCAATGTGTGTGTGTGGGTGTGTGTGTGTATGTGTGGGTATAGACCATAGACTGTATAGAAACATCATGGTGTCATTATGATGATGATAAACAATCTGTAAATATTTTGTAAATTTGTTCATGTAAATACTCTATGCTGTTTCTCTGTTTACCTTCGGTATATCTATGACTGTATACTGTTTGCTTGTATTGCCTTTTTTATTAACCCCTCCCCCCATCTCCCACTTCATGTCCCTCCCCTCCTATGTGCCCTTCTGGGTTTCTTCTTTGGCCCCCTGTATCTCCAACTACATATTGTTTGTAATCTCTGTCTACAATGTATCTGAACTAGTCCTTTTCTTTGTTTCTATGTGTTTGTCTGCAATAAAAAGTAAAAAAAAAAAAATTTTTTTTTTTTTTTTTATCGCGCGATAAAAAAAATGACGGCGTTAATATTGATTTGCGTTAACGCGTTAATAACGCGCTATTTTGGACAGCCCTAATATAAAATCAAACTACAGTATTTGCCATAGTTTTCATTTTCATCAACTTTATTATTACATTTCTGGATTAGGAATCAGAGCTGCCCCCAGAACCAGCTCTGGCTGATCCTGCTGCAGGGGGGGTGGGTCCACAAAGACACGGCCTTGGTCTTTCAGCGGGGGCTTCAGGCAATGTGGGGTGAAGTGTCTTGCTCAGGGACCGACACAACGACAGCAGAGGGAGCAGGTGACATGGGTCGTGGGGGGGAATCAAACCCACAACCATTAACTTCAGAGACCAATGCCCTTCAATTTCCATATATTTACAAAATGTATTTGTATTTATGCGTCAGCTTGAAAGAAGTAAAATAAAACAGACTCCGACCTCATGAACACAATTGAAATCCATGAATGTTATTCAGCAGGAATAATGATAACTACAACATAAACTTTAACAAACACATTCTTTCATATAAACCTTTTATTTGTAAATATATATTATTACAAACTGCATCATTTATTATTTCACTTGTGGCACTTTCTTCTGTTTCTTTGAACGAGGAGCTCTCCAGTTGTTGTTCCTGAACTTCTTTTGAAAGCCTGAGTTCTGGGTCTGTAAAAACACAACAATCAATGGTTGGAATCGTTTTCATTTACTTTGGGATGAAATAAAGTGAACCGACCTTTTTACGCTTTGCCCCCAGCGGCTTCTCCAGCGGCTTCTCCAGCTCCATCTCCACTTCCTCCTCCGACAGGAAGTCATCGTCCTCCGCACACTCCTCTTCTTTTTGTTCAGCAGAATTTTTCAGCGTGAATAAAGAAGCTGAGGAGCATAAAGTAGCACAGTTTATGTTTAGTATTTTATTATTATTATTATTAATTCTTATTTTCAGATGTTACTTTTATGGTGGAATACTGTGCAAGCGACAGTGACACTGCAGTTTCCTGTGGATCAATAAAGTCTAAGTTTTAACTTCGAGACGAGCATAACGTGGCCACAGCAGGTGTTTAAACAGCAGGACCATAACTCACTGATAACTGCAGGAAATCATCACAGCTGAGCTAAAGAATCAGGTGGAAGCGAATTCTGTGGCACCTGATTTTAAAACATGAGGAAGAAATTATCCAGGTTCTTGTCACGTGGGCAAAACGAGAAGCAAATATCACCATAACTTTAATAAAAATACAAATCTCTCGTATCGTTCTTAATTCTCCTTCTCTACTCTTGACTTGTTTGCACCAAGAGCCAAACCAGTTTCCTGTGACTTCCTGTTACTTACATGGCACTAAAACTGATTCTGAAAACGGAGCTTCTGTCAGCAGCGCTCTGAGGCCCTCTAGTGGTCATGCTGGGGATGGCAGTCATTTAGGTAGGAACCTTTGCACCTGGGGGGAAGTGCACAGATGGGACACACGTTTGTTGACTGTGTTTGTGGTGTTTTGAAATGAGTCCTTTACGTTGTGGATTTTAGGGAATTAAATGGACTGTTTTGGATTTGTAATGAATAAAGAAATGTTTTTAACTGCAGCAGACTGCCTCAGAGACAATGGTTCTCCTGATCTTTCCGTCAGCAGGAGACGTCAGAACTAGCTACAACAACTAGTTTTGAACGTATTATTGGACTCTTTAGTTATTTTGGATCAGGAAAAGTGAAACAGAGAACCACCCCTCAGCCAATCAGCTCTCAGGGACATGAGCATTATTATTATACATTTGATATTAAACTTTAGCCTCAGCCTCAGTCCTGGGTCTACGGCCTCAGGCCTGGGTCTACGGCCTCAGGCCCAGTTTTTCTGTATGTGTTGTTACTCCACTCTACCAGAACTTCCTCTGGTCTTGTGTAACCAGTCCCAGGTCCTTCTTTAGTCCCTCTCGGTCCTGGTTCTATCCGGGCCAAGCTGGTGCTAAAGTGTTCTAACTGACAGTGATAGTTCAGAGAGCTGCTGGGAGCCATGGTTACCATCGGTCTGTCTACTTTTTATTTTGTTGATTATTTCATGAAGTGTCTTTCTCAATAGTTTGGAAACCCCTGGATGAGAATAAACTCCAACAGTTATGGATAGGTCCGGTCCTGGTTCAGTCCTGGTTCGGTCCTGGTTTGGTCCTGGTTTGGTCCTGGTTCGGTCCTGGTTTGGTCCTGGTTTGGTCCTTGTTCGGTCCTGGTTCGGTCCTGGTTCAGTCTCGGTTCGGTCCTGGTTAGGTCCTGGTCCGGTCCTGGTCCGGTCCTGGCTCAGTCTCGGACTCACATGGGTAAAGGTCGCTCATGCTGTCCTCGGAGTCCGAGCCGTCGCTGGACGTGTTTTCCCACATTCCATTTGCATGTTTTGAAGAGTTCCCGGGTCCGCCATCCTGGTCCAGGTCTTTGGGTCTCTTTTGCTTCAGTCTAGCAGGAACAAATTCAACCCCTCGTTTCTGGCAATCCTCATCTATAATAAAATATTGTATTAGTTTGAAACGGTTTCTTGCCAAAAGACACAACATGTTTTCACTTTAGAGCCACCATAGTCTGAATATAGACGGACAATGCTAACATGCTAGCTCAATGAGGCCCAATAGGGAAGTGCTCATGGGCAAAGTCTGGCTCCTATTGACTCACATGTAACAGTAAACTCCTCTAGCTGTGTTCCGTTTGTGTCACATTCACCATTCTGGGCTGAATAAAACATGCTTTAGCCATTTCTATAATCCCAGCGTTTATATTTGATAAATGTAGATCCAGATGTGAGCCATATAAGGATTGACCAATTACATGCCTTCATTGGTGGGGAAACTCCAGCTAACAACCAGAGGGAAGCTAACACCGTCGGAACAAATGCCCATATAAGGCAAATGGCTCCAGCTAGCTTATGTTCGAAGGCTAACACTGGTGATGTCACACTCATAAAAACTGCATTAATATTCAGGAGGTTTTACAAAATAGTGACTCACATTTAGCCAGAGCCTTTTTGAAGCGTTTGCCGTCGACATGTTTGGAGACGTGATGTGGCTGTCGGTTCAGGTGCCTCAGCGTCAGTTTACAGAAGAGCTGGTTTCTGGAAAACAAAACAACATATTTATGAAGATAAACTTGTTTTCTGGTCTCAGGCTCAATGTGTGTGTGTCTCTCTGTGACTGTGACCAACTGTGTGTGTGCGTGCGAGTGTGCGTGTGTGTGTCTCTCTCTGTGACTGTGTGTGTGTCTGTCTCTCTCTGTGACTGTGTGTGTCTGTCTCTCTCTGTGACTGTGTGTGTGTGTGTGTGTGTGTCTCTCTCTGTGACTGTGTGTGTCTGTCTCTCTCTGTGACTGTGTGTGTGTGTGTGTGTCTGTCTCTCTGCGACTGTGTGTGTGTGTCTGTCTCTCTCTGTGACTGTGTGTGTGTGTCTGTCTCTCTCTGCGACTGTGTGTGTGTCTGTCTCTCTCCGACTGTATGTGTGTCTACTCATATATGTTACGTGAATAGACCATACATGTATGTGATGAGATGACATGGACAAATACATAAAAAATATATTCCTCAGGTTCCTCAGGCAAAACAAATATAAGTTAAAATACCATTATGTTTTAAGACAGAATGTGTGTGTTCCTACGGCTGCTTGGTGCTGGGAACAATGTGTGGCTGGAACTGGCTGTAGTTGAAATCCGCTGCAGCAGACAGAGATTTGTATTTCTTTGCTTGAGTAAACTTCTGCAGCTCTGGAACGCTACACGGGAACTCGTGGCCATTCAGCGTGCATTTGACCTGGAACCACAGAACACACTTTAAAGTACAGGAGCAAGATGTAAGTTAGGGCCAATTTAAAGTAGTAGATTTAAGACACTGCAGAACTTAAGACAAGAGTAACAACAATAATAATACATTTTATTTATAAGGGGCCTTTCTAGGGACGCAAGGTTGCCCTGTAAAAGTTTAAGAGAGTTAAAATGGACTATGAAACGTAGGTTGACAATAAATAGACCAGTCTGAAGAGTGTTGAATGCAATAAGAATAATATCCATTATGTAGAAAGTGCATAAAGATGGCAGAAAATTGTCAACCAGGAGAAAATTATGATCATTGAGATTAGTGTTTTCGCCAAGAGCCTGAAATTGTCGAAAATAAATTAAAAAACTAAAATAGTGGGGTGAAAAATATGTGCACCAGTTAGCACAAATGAAAGAAACTGTCTGAATTGTCTGGAATATATAAATGAGCTGAAACTAGAAGCTAGAGAATAAGAATTGGCAGCAGTTAGCATAAGGCTAAATGTGTTAGCATAAGGCTAAATGTGTTAGGACAGGAGGTGAACCTTTCTGTCCTGTGTCAGTTCAAAGAAGGGATGGATCCGAAGAAAGGTTTTCAGTTCTGCAGATAATTCCTCCATGACTTTAAACTACACCAAAACAGAGCGCTGCGGTGTGTGATGCTAACCAATGCTAACCAAACAAACCCAGGGCATCTACACACGTGGGTTTGTGGCCACTGAAAGTTTGTTAGAGCGCCATCTACCGGTGAAATAAATGAATAAATATTGAAATGGAATTTAATGTCCTTTAACATATGACTATGAATGGTCCTGAGAGTGAATCATAATAAAGAGGAATCTGACGTTTGTGTATCATCTTTTGTAAAACATTCATTCAGTTAAATCCTATTCTATTTTGTTATTGTTGTTTTACTGTGTTAATTGTAAAAATTTTGCTTTTCTTTCCCACCCTCACAATGGTCATATCCTTACGTTACATTATTGTTGTAATTAAGTGTTATTTGTATGATGAAAGATATGTACCGTTCAACAATACAAAACTATAATAAAAAACAAATAATAATAAAAACTGGGAAAGTATGAGCAAAGGAATGGGTGAAAAAATACAAAGTAATAAAAAAAATTAAAAGACGTACAAATATCCGCCCGCCTTCATCCGCACTGGAACCAGAGACACGGGAGCGCGCAGTGCGAGCCGTGTGCGCGGCAGTGACAGGTAAGTCACGCGTGTCACCGCGTTTTTCACCTTTATTCTTCTTCTTTATATCAAAACAACCGGCAGGTGACGTCACGGACTACACAACTCAGCTTAAATTAAGACAAAGTCCACTGGGCACTTTGCGTGTGTGTGTGTGTGTGTATGTCTGTGTGTATAGCTGTGTGTGTGTGTATGTGTGTCTCTCTGTGTGTGTGTCTGTGTTTCTCCAAATGTAAAAACTAAATGTGTGTTATGCTAATGTGAAATGTTGATCTTTTGGTAAACACTGAGATCTTAGTCCGTGAGAAAGCGCCGTGTCTGTGATGTCACTGATCCAGACTGTGATGTCACTGATCCAGACGGTGATGTCACTGATCCAGACTGTGATGTCACTGACCCAGACTGTGATGTCACTGACCCAGACTGTGATGTCACTGACCCAGACTGTGATGTCTTTGTTTCCACCGTCTCTACTTTCTCAGTTGTTTTTTGTCGATACAGTGCCTTGCGAAAGTATTCGCCCCCCTTGAACCTTTCAACATTTTGCCACATTTCAGGCTTCAAACATAAAGATATAAAAATTTAATTTTTTGTCAAGAATCAACAACAAGTGGGACACAATCGTGAAGTGGAACGAAATTTATTGGATAACTTAAACTTTTTTAACAAATAAAAAACTGAAAAGTGGGGCGTGCAATATTATTCGGCCCCCTTGCGCTAATACTTTGTAGCGCCACCTTTTGCTGCAATTACAGCTGCAAGTCGCTTGGGGTATGTCTCTATCAGTTTTGCACATCAAGAGACTGGAATTCTATCCCATTCTTCCTTGCAAAACAGCTCGAGCTCAGTGAGGTTGGATGGAGAGCGTTTGTGAACAGCAGTCTTCTGCTCTTTCCACAGATTCTCGATTGGATTCAGGTCTGGACTTTGACTTGGCCATTCTAACACCTGGATACGTCTATTTGTGAACCATTCCATTGTAGATTTGGCTTTATGTTTTGGATCATTGTCCTGTTGGAAGATAAATCTCCGTCCCAGTCTCAGGTCTTTTGCGGACTCCAACAGGTTTTCTTCCAGAATGGTCCTGTATTTGGCTCCATCCATCTTCCCATCAATTTTAGCCATCTTCCCTGTCCCTGCTGAAGAAAAGCAGGCCCAAACCATGATGCTGCCACCACCATGTTTGACAGTGGGGATGGTGTGTTCAGGGTGATGAGCTGTGTTGCTTTTACGCCAAACATATCGTTTTGCATTGTGGCCAAAAAGTTCGATTTTGGTTTCATCTGACCAGAGCACCTTCTTCCACATGTCTGGTGTGTCTCCCAGGTGGTTTGTGGCAAACTTTAAACGAGACTTTTTATGGATATCTTTGAGAAATGGCTTTCTTCTTGCCACTCTTCCATAAAGGCCAGATTTGTGCAGTGCACAACTGATTGTTGTCCTATGGACAGACTCTCCCACCTCAGCTGTAGTTATCTGCAGTTCATCCAGAGTGATCATGGGCCTCTTGGCTGCATCTCTGATCAGTCTTCTCCTTGTTTGAGATGAAAGTTTGGAGGGACGGCCGGGTCTTGGTAGATTTGCAGTGGTCTGATACTCCTTCCATTTCAATATAATTGCTTGCACAGTGCTCCTTGAGATGTTTAAAGCTTGGGAAATCTGTAGTAAATCTGCAGTATCTCGGACCTGCCTGGTGTGTTCCTTTGTCTTCATAGTTCTCTCTGCGCTTTAAACAGAACCCTGAGACTATCAAAGAGCAGGTGCATTTATACGGAGACTTGATTACACACAGGTGCATTCTATTTATCATCATCAGTCATTTAGGACAACATTGGATCGTTCAAAGATCCTCACTGAACTTCTTGAGTGAGTTTGCTGCACTGAAAGTAAAGGGGCAGAATAATATTGCACGCCCCACTTTTCAGTTTTTTATTTGTTGAAAAAGTTTAAATTATCCAATAAATTTTGTTTCACTTCACGATTGTGTCCTACTTGTTGTTGATTCATGACAAAAAAATAAAATTTTATATCTTTATGTTTGAAGCCTGAAATGTGGCGAAATGTTGAAACGTTCAAGGGGGCCGAATACTTTCGCAAGGCACTGTATCTTGCTCCTTTTCAGGCCTCTCCCAGACTCGGTACAAATGTTGATTTTCAGTTTCAAATCTTTTTAGCAGCAAACTATAATACGGATCAAACAGCTGAGCAGACCCATGTCTCACAGCTGTGTACACAGCTGCAGAGTCAGGCTGCCGTACACAGCTGCAGAGTCAGGCTGCCGTACACAGCTGCAGAGTCAGGCTGCCGTACACAGCTGCAGAGTCAGGCTGCCATACACAGCTGTGTACACAGCTGCAGAGTCAGGCTGCTGTGTACACAGCTGCAGCCAGGCTGTGTCTGTGACATCTGTGGAGAAGGTCAGAGAGAGTGTGTTTCTCTCTGTGGCTGCTGGGGTCAGACGTGTGAAAAGGTGTAACATCATGATTACAGATTACATCATGATTACAGATTACATAATTGATTACAGATTACATCATGATTACAGATTACATCATGATTACAGATTACATTATGATTACAGATTACATTATGATTACAGATTACATCATTACAGATTACATTATGATTACAGATTACATCACGATCTGACTGGGTTAAAGTCATGTTATGAACCCCAGCTTTAATCCTCAATAACACTCTCCTCTGTGGCCAGCTGGAGGCGCTGCTGCGGCGTATGTCACATATGGATGAAAAGCTTTGAGAAAACAACTTCCTGGTGTCAGAGCTCGACTGCTCCCTCAAAGCATTATGGGAAATCAAAAGGGCAGGGGTGTCACACCCGTATTCGTACCGGAAACCGGATTTGTCCGGAAGTTCAGTTTGCACATGTCAAAAGTTTAATATGCCCTTAAGTGGTGACTGGTTAAGTTTAGGCGTCTGATTAAGATGGTTAAGTTTAGGGTTAAGGCTGGGTTGGGGTTATTTCAGGGAATGGCTGGTTAAGTTTAGGCACGAATAGGTAGTTTTTTATATTTACTTCCGCTTCCGTCCAGATTCCGTGACGTAATCTACTGCTGCGTATGCAGTACCTGAGGACCATAGGTGAGGCCACACCCCCTACTGCAGCGAGGACCATAGGTGAGGCCACACCCCCTACTGCAGTACCTGAGGACCATAGGTGAGGCCACACCCCCTACTGCAGTAGCTGAGGACCATAGGTGAGGACATTTACTAAACATTCCTCTTGTTCCGGCTTCAGTTTCTTGATTCCGTGACGTAATCTACTGCTGCGTATGCTCATTGGATCAAACTGAACTTCCGGACGAATCCGGTTTCCGGGACGAATATGGGAGTGACAAGGGCTCAGCGGAGTGGCGGGGCTAAAGGGCCGATGCCAGGCTGCCCATTGGTTGAAAGGCAGAGGGGCGGAGCCGGCGTCCAGGTGAGTCCCACACAATTCACAGTCAATCAGTACTCTAGTACCCTGTGAGGATCAGTACTCTAGTACTCTGAGGATCAGTTCTCTAGTACTCTGTGAGGATCATATACTTCAGTATAGTACTGTGCATAAGTCTTCAGACCCTCATATCTGTGTTATATGTGTGTTTTATATTGTCTGTTTTTTGCACTGTGTGTGTGTGTTTTGTGCATTGTGTGTGTCTGTGTGTTTGTGATGGTAGGTCTGTAGTGTGTAAGTAGGTCTGTTGTGTGTTGGTAGGTCTGTTGTGTGTTGGTAGATCTGTAGTGTAATAGTAGGTCTGTTGTGTGTTGGTAGGTCTGTAGTGTGTTGGTAGGTCTGTTGTGTGTTGGTAGGTCTGTAGTGTGATAGGTCTGTTGTGTGTTGGTAGGTCTGTAGTGTGTTGGTAGGTCTGTTGTGTGTTGGTAGGTCTGTAGTGTGATAGTAGGTCTGTTGTGTGATGGTAGGTCTGCAGTGTTGGTAGGTCTGTAGCAAATGAACTGTAATTGTTGACTTGAAAGACTATGAATATAAACCTGACTCTGGTTATACCAGGTTGGCGAAAGACCTTCGATCCTTCGATGGTTATTACCAGGACAAGACCAGACACATCCTGGACAATGTGCTGCAGTACCTGAGCGAGGACCATAGGTGAGGCCACACCCCTACTGCAGTACCTGAGGACCATATGTGAGGCCACACCCCCTACTGCAGCGAGGACCATAGGTGAGGCCACACCCCCTACTGCAGCGAGGACCATAGGTGAGGCCACACCCCCTACTGCAGTACCTGAGGACCATAGGTGAGGCCACACCCCTACTGCAGTACCTGAGGACCATAGGTGAGGCCACACCCCCTACTGCAGCGAGGACCATAGGTGAGGCCACACCCCCTACTGCAGTACCTGAGGACCATAGGTGAGGACATTTACTAAACATTCCTCTTGCTCCGGCTTCAGTTTCTTGATACTTGGATTGAACCAGAACAGATTATTTTACCATCGCATTCTCCGATAAACTACAACCAGCAAATTCAGCACAAACTCTTGACGTCACCGACACCAACCTGCAACACCCGCCTCCCCCGCTCTCTGATTGGTCGGAGGGGATTCAACCGAGGAAACTGCAGCCACTAGGATCAGACCCAGACGTACATGTAGGAAATTACCATGGACCAGAGTTTACACATGGTAAGACCAGACGTACATGTAGGAAATTATCATGGACCAGAGTTTACACATGGTAAGACCAGACGTACATGGTCATACACACACAAACAGAGATACACACAGATACATATAGAGAGATACTGTACACACACATAGATACACACTAGAGCTGCAACTAACGATTATTTTGTAATCGATTAATCTATCGATTATTTTTACGATTAATAGAGTAATCGCTTGGCTGTGAATTGTGTAGAAAAAAAATATTTTTTCATCACAAAAAACTAAAGTGGCAACTCTCGAGGACGTATTGATGGCGTAAACTTAAAGTAAATGTTTGTAACAGGCTCTTTGTGCTAATTCTGCTATCTGATTGGATGAGACAGACAGATATTCATGAAATTATATTATATATATCTTATATTATAAGTCGGTTTTAATCAAAAATACTACATTTTCATGTCATTTTTGCTCTGTTTGAGTTCATGTGAACCAGAAAACGATTAATCGATTACTAAAATAGTTGTCGACTATTTCAATAATCGATTAGTCGTCGATTAAACGATTAGTTGTTTCTGCCCTAATACACACACACACACACAAAAACAGAGATACACACAGATACATACACCATCAGCTCCCTCATCAAGAAGGCCCAGCAGAGGATGTACTTCATGCGGCAGCTCAGGAAAGCCAAGCTGCCTGCACAGATGTTGGTGCAGTTCTACACGGCCATCATCGAGTCCATCCTCACCTCCTCCGTCACCGTGTGGTTCGCTGGAGCCACAGTCAGGGACAAACAGAGACTACAGCGCATTGTGCGCTCTGCAGAGGAAGTGATCGGCCGCAGCCTTCCATCGCTGCAGGACCTGTACGTCGCCCGAGCTCGAGGCCGGGCTGGTCGTATCACAGCCGACCCCTCTCACCCTGCACATGGACTATTCCAACCACTCCCCTCAGGCAGGAGGCTGCGGTCCATCAGGACTAGAACCTCCCGCCACAAGAACAGTTTCTTCCCCTCTGCTGTTGGACTCTTGAACACTTCTTAACCTGTCCCCCCGCCCTTTATAAAGTCACTTTACTGCCCATCATACGTCACTTTACTTCACTGTACTGCTGTCACCTTACATTGTGTGCACCATGTGCACTTGTATATTGTAAATAGTAACTGTAACTCTATTTTAAATTTAAATGTGTTCCTTAGAAGTGTTTTTTATTCATATTTTTTATTATCTCTTTCTGACTGTTGCACTGAGCCAAAGCAATTTCCAATTCTGTGACTTCCTGTTACTGACGTGGCAATAAAAATGATTCTGATTCTGATATACAGAGAGATACATACACACACACAGAGATTCACACAGATACATATACAGAGAGATACACACACATAGAGATACAGACACACACACACACAGATACATATACAGAGAGATACAGACACACACACACACACACAGGGAGACACACACTTGTGTTATTTATGTTTTGTTTTGTTTTTCAGAGGAGCAGAGATCTTGTACTCATTGGCTCTGGTCGAGTCACGCCGTTACCATAGCAACCTCTTCCCTGGGGCGGAGCTGTTTGGTCACCTGACCTTTGGGAGGCGGAACTTAGGTCTGTTCCAGCATCACGATGCCGTGACGGGTACGGCCCGAGACGCAGTGGTGCGCGACTACGGAGAGAGGTGCTAAAGCAAATGCTAATGCTACTGCTGTTAATGCCATCTCTGCCAATACTGCTACTGCTAATGCTACTGTTAGCATTAGATAGCAATATGGCCTACGTGCAGGACTGTACAAGGACTCTACAAGGACTCCATGTTATGACTATGATGTGACTGTCTCTTTGTGACACGTATGTCTTTCGATGTGTGACGTGACAATGACTATATAAACTGTGTACTGCCTTTATTCTGTCTGAGAGAAGGAAACAAAGTAAACCACTGGAACTTGAGAGAAACTAAAGCCTAGTTTATACTCGCGCGGCGCGGAGCTTACGGAGGTGACGTGACGTCACTTGCGCAACGCGTTGGTCACCGCAAGGCCCTTACGTCGCCTGCGCGCAGCATCGAAATTTTCTAACTACGTAAGGGTCGCCGCAAGGAATCTCCGCTGTGATTGGTCCGTGTGTGTGTATTGGAAGGAAGCATGAAGCGGCTGCAGCAGGAGCATGGACGAGGCACTATGGAGCAGAGAGCTTTGTGCTTCGAAGGAAAAGCAGTTTGGGCTCAGAGCCTGATATACAGGAGACAGTGGACTATCTAACATCTATATAACTTATAAACTGTGCAGTCGTTTGTTTTGCACTGTTCCTGTCTTTGTTTGAATCGTAGCTGCGTTTGTTGCTTTCCTCCTGCACTCGTAAATCGTTCATGTTTGTCTCAGATATTTACCACTATTATTGTTTTGCTGTTTGTGCTGAAAACTATTTAATAATAACTATGTTTCCAACAAGAACTGTGTCTTTATTCACAACATCACAGTTGAAATGACTTATAAAATAATGAATCCATAAAACTATCACATAAACCTACAGTAGAAACACGTGTAATGAGCTCAAACAACTTTGTTTGTTATTGTTGTTCTGAAGAGGACAAAGTAGCAGCGTAAATGGGACCGCTCCTGTGTGATCGCCCTCATGTGGTTTGTTGTGGGATTACAACATTCTCCTCAAAACTCCGTAAGGGGAACGCGCCAGTATAACATCAATTGTGCTTACGTAGGTCCACCGCAACCGCTAACGTAAGTCACGCCGCGCAAGTATACACTAGGCTTTAAATAAACTTCCAGAGTTTGGCGCACCACGATCCGTCTCTGTCTGCTTCATCCTTGACAGATTTGGTGGAGAATGCGCGGCTCAGTGTGTGCCATTCTCTGGATTGTTTTTTTTTTTTTGAACTTTATTGTGATAACACACAAAAAACAGAACATGAACATTGTCCTGAGACTGGGCTTAATAAATCATTCACTCATAAAAATAAATAAAAATAGAAGAAAAATAAAAATAAAAAAAGAGGGCCTAGGTTAATGTCTTATTTAAGAAAGGTAATCAGAGGAGCCCATCTTCTTTCGAAGATGTGGTTCTTTAGTTGCAGTTGTGCTGTCAATCGTTCCATCAAATAAACCTGTCTTGTCCTTTGTATCCATTGTGTAATTGTTGGCGGCTCAGGTTTTAACCAACAAATTGTTATAATTTTCCTTGCTGTCATTAAGAGTACATGAAGAAGAAATCTTTGGTCAGGGGTCAGATGATCTGGAAAGATGTCCAATAAAAATATTTGGGAGTCCAAAGAAATGCTCACTTTTAGTACATCTTCCAAAACGTCCTTAATGTTCCTCCAAAAGTTATGTATTTTAGGACAATCCCAGAACATGTGAGTGTGATCTCCGACAAGTCCACAGTTTCTCCAGCATTTGTCACTCCTGTTACTCTTGGTTAGGAAGGATTTCAATGGAGTCCTAAAAAATCTGGTTTTCATCTTCCAATCAAACTCCTTCCAGACCTGACTACTCACACCCTTATGACAACCAGAACAAATGTCAGCCCACACATCATCATCCAAGGTAACATTCAACTCCATTTCCCATTGCTGTTTTATGTGATGTGTGTTATCTGACATGTCCATAAGCATTTTTCTGTACATCAAGGACACTTGTTTTTTCATTACCCCACCATTTTCAATCAGATTGATAAAATGTTTCTCTATATTTGGAAAGTCTCTTCTAGTCAGCTCCCAATCATCATGTTTCATTACATAGCTCCTTATTTGTAAATACTTATATAGATCACTTGAATGCAACTTGAACTTTGCTCTTATTTGGGCAAAGGTTTTAATAACTGTTCCTTCAAACAGCTGATTGATTGTCAGGAGACCCCCCTCTGCCCACCTCTGAAAGCCACCGCCGTCTGATAAAGATGGAAGGAATTCAATATTTCTATGAATAGTCATAGCTCGAGATAGAGCAACCTTTCCCTTTAATTTCTTTTGGATCGTATTCCAACATTTTAATGTACATTTGACCCATATATTTGTTTTATTTTTTTCTGAGACTGCAGGCTAAGAAATGGGAGCTGAGAGAGAGGGATCCCCGGCACAGAATATTCTTCCATAGATACCCACTGTGAATCCAAATTGCGAATGATCCATGCCACCAGAGCTTTCATTTGGGCAGCCCAATAATATAATTTGAAGTTAGGCAAATTCAAGCCACCGGATTCTTTAGAAGACATTAAAATTTTAAGACGTACTCTTGGTCTTTTGTTCTGCCAAATGAACTTTGACATTAATCTGTCTAAAGATTTGAAAGTAGAATGTGGTATAACAATAGGGAGGTTTTGAAATAGAAATAAAAATCTAGGAAGAACATTCATCCTTATACATTCAATTCTCCCCAAAAGGGAAAGAGGTAGTACATCCCATCTATTTAAGTCAGTTCTAACTTCTTTTAATAATTTGTCATAATTGGATGAGAACAACTGTGTGGTCTTTGGAGTCAAAATTATTCCTAGATATCTGAACCCTTGTTTGGAGTGTCTGAATGAGACAAGATTATCCAACTGCACTGGCCAAGCTCCAACAATCATTTGAGCTTCAGATTTATTTGTATTTATTTTATATCCCGATATCATACTATACTCCTTAACACTGTGAAGCAAGGCTGGTACAGAAGTGATAGGGTTTTCCAGAAATAATAGAATATCATCAGCAAAAAGTGATAATTTGTGTTGAACATTGGATTCATCTCTTATTCCCTGTATGAGAGGATTTGATCTTATCATTTCAGCTAACGGCTCTATACTTAAAGCAAACAGAGAGGGCGAAAGAACTTCACCCTGCCGAGTGCCACGTTCAAGCGGAAAAAAACTTGAGCAATGCCCATTAACCCTTACACGTGACCTTGGGTTTTTATAAAAGGTTTGGACCCACCCAATGAATGTCTCATTGAAGCCCATGTGCCTCAATGTCTGTTGCAGGAAGCCCCAGTCCACCCGATCAAACGCTTTCTCAGCGTCCAGACTGAGAAACATTGATGGGGTGTTCCTTTTCTGTGCTACAATTTGGAGATTTAAGGCTCTTCGTACATTATCAGTCCCCTGCCTATGGGCGATAAAACCAGTTTGATCTGGCTTCACCAGTCTTCCAATATAGTTTTGTATTCTGTTTGCAATGATGGAGACTGATGGGGCGATAGGATGCACACAAAGTGGGGTCCTTACCATCTTTATGAATGACACTAATAATAGCTTCCGACCATGACTGAGGAGGATCACCCTTTGAAAGTGCATAGTTGTAGACTTTATCCAGAAGAGGCGTGAGCTCTTTTTCAAATACCTTATAGTATTCTCCTGGGAGGCCATCCACTCCTGGAGACTTGTTATTTTTGAGTTTTAAAATACTGATTTTTATTTCCTCTCTTGTAATTGGACGTGTCACTAGGACTGCTTCCTCCTCAGTCAGTCTGGGAAGAGTCATTGAGTTGAAAAAATTATCAATTTTTGTATCCTTATTTTGGCAGCTCTCTTCCTTGTACAATTCTTGGTAGTAAGTGGCAAATGCCTTTGCTACCTCCTTGGGTTGAGATAACAATACCCCAGTATTTGGGCACTTGATTTTATGAACAACTCTGTTCGATTGTTCTTTTCGCAGCTGGAATGCCAACAGTCTGCTTGCCCTGTTACCAAATTTGTAATACTTTTGGTTTGTGAATCGAAACTGCCCTTCTGCTGTATATGTTAGTAGGTCATTTAATTTCTGTCTAGTTTCCTTTAGCCTATTAAGTATAGCATTGTTTTGTACTGTTTGGTATTCTTTCTCTAATTTTTTAACCTCGTTTCCCAATCCTTCTTGTTCTGCAAATCTTTCTTTCTTTAGTTTTGATGAAATAGCAATAATATTCCCTCTTAAGACACATTTGGCTCCCTCCCATAATACTGATGGGTTAACAGCATCATTGTCATTAAATTGAATATACTCTAGTAGTACCTTCTTAATGTGTTGTTGGATGTCGTCATTGTTAAGAAGAGATACATTTGCTCTCCAGTACCTAAAGTTACTTTTTGGACTCAACTTAATTGTCAGAGATACTGGAGCATGATCTGAGATAGTAATTGCTTCAATCGTACACTGGGTCACTCTATAGAGATCTGTACTCGGCATCAAAAACATATCCAATCTTGAGTGACTACAGTGTACATGTGAAAAAAAGGAAAAATCTTTTTCCTTAGGATGCAGGCAACGCCAAACATCTTTTAAACCTAACTCATCCATCAGTGCACAAAGGGTTTGAGACTTCCTGGTTACCGGACCAAAATCAGCAGGGAGCCTATCTACAGAAGCTTTCAGAACACAATTAAAATCTCCCCCCACAAGAATAATCCCCTCTGCATTGTCAGCTATCAATGATGCAATGTTTTTAAAGAAAATAGGACAGTCCTCATTTGGAGCATATACATTTAGTAAAGTAATTTTTACGCCCCTTATACATCCAATTACCATAAGGAATCTCCCCTCCTTGTCACTGATAGTTTTCTCATGGCAAAAACACACTGACTTGTTAAAAAGGATAGCAACTCCTCTTTTTCTCCCGCTTTGGTGTGAGGAGCTATATTGTTGGTCTACCCATTCTCTCCTCAGCTTCATGTGTTCCTTGTCTGAGAGATGCGTTTCCTGAAGCATTGCTATGTCAGAGTTAAGCTTTTTCAATTGGTTCAGCACTTTCTTCCTTTTAATCGGACTACCTAAGCCTTTAACATTATAGGTAACACATTTTATGTCCTCCATTTGTTATTATGATATACATTCAAATAACACAACATTGTTTTGATTCACATTTAACTCGATACACAAACAATCAATACAGATAAGAAAATTATAATGGCCCACTAGAAGTCTCAGGACAAGAACAACCTTTAAAAATGAAAACATAGCGAACAAAGTGAACAATGTAGGCTTCCACATACCCGACTGGATCAAATATGACTCCTTGAACTAAATCAAACTTGAGCAATCCAGCCCCTGGTGTATATCGGACGGAGGCTGGTGACTGGTCCTCCGCGGGGAATAACACAACGTTTGTTGTATCGCTGTCGCTCCCAGAGCTCTTCGCGTGCGACTTGGACGTGGATAGGTCCTCCACTAGTGGTTTACAGTGCCTTGCGAAAGTGAACCTCGCGTCTTGTCCATGTTGAAAATCTTCTATTTTCCTCTCCTAACGTATATTGGTTTAACGTGGTAGTTGAACTCGGCGAGTGTGATTATAAAGCGCTTTCTCCGGACAAATAAACTTCACAGCATTATTCTTTCATTCCAGACACGGGTGATTAAACTACTACTGTAGCCACAGCTGCCCTGGGGCACACTGACAGAAGCGAGGCAACCAGTCTGTGTTATCAGCCCCTCCCACCACATCCAGACTCATTCTGTGGGGGAAGTGTCTTGCCTAAGGACACAAGGACAGTTTGGCACCTGTTCCCAGAGGTCTCCCATCACAGTATCTGTCTTTCACCTGCAGGTGGCGCCACAATACCATGGTAAAAAAGGTTTTTAAGTGATTCCTAAAATACGTTTATATTACTGTTGGTGATATAAAGTTATTGTATTACATATTTTTCATTTCTGAGGAGCACAGGGACTGGCCTCCTGCCGGGACTCTGAGGAGCACAGGGACTGGCCTCCTGCTGGGACTCTGAGGAGCACAGGGACTGGCCTCCTGCCGGGACTCTGAGGAGCACAGGGACTGGCCTCCTGCTGGGACTCTGAGGAGCACAGGGACTGGCCTTCTCTTGGGACTCTGAGGAGCACAGGGACTGGCCTCCTGCTGGGACTCTGAGGAGCACAGGGACTGGCCTCCTGCTGGGACTCTGAGGAGCACAGGGACTGGCCTCCTGCTGGGACTCTGAGGAGCACAGGGACTGGCCTCCTGCTGGGACTCTGAGGAGCACAGGGACTGGCCTCCTGCCGGGACTCTGAGGAGCACAGGGACTGGCCTCCTGCTGGGACTCTGAGGAGCACAGGGACTGGCCTTCTCTTGGACTCTGAGGAGCACAGGGACTGGCCTCCTGCTGGGACTCTGAGGAGCACTTTCTTTAGAGAGTAATACATAGTTCCCACATGACGTCACTACATACGGGGATTTGCCGACCCGGCGCCATTTGTGTTGGCATGCTGTGGGCAAAACAATAGAAAAAGAAGCTGAAACGTGTTAATGTCGTGATAAAGTTGAAAATGGTCATCTCCTGCTGGGTCAATGGATGTTCAAATCGTGCCGGAGGTTCCGTTAAACTTGGATTTTACAGTATACCCATCATTAGACTTCATGAATGTGAGAAGACTAAGCTTTTGTCAGAACAACCACGGAGGTTATGGCTTGCGAAGATAAACAGGCAAGAAACTCCCTCAAAACACGCAAGAATATGCTCGGAGCACTTTGTGTCAGGTGCGTATCGTATCTTATAATGTGTTGACAGACGTAATTTACTCAGTACTAACTTGTGTATGCTGATAGCTGGTAACTTGAGAGTTTCATTATTTAGCGTTAGATTACTTTATTATGAGGAGGATCGGTGTCGCGTCCGAGGCTCTCGAGGGCAACGTAAATGTATTAAATAGATAATAATAGTTCTATGGTGGGCTAAAACAATGTTCACAAACAGCATTGCTTCTGTAAAAAGATCTGTGTCATAAAATAAACTGCTCTTTACGCCTGGAAAAATCAGTTGCCCACCATTCACCAAAACATACGGTCAAAAACGCGGAAATAAACAATAACAGCAATCCAGAGTGTCCGTGTGGCATTAGCATTAATTAAATTAATTGTTAATATAATTAAAATAATTAAATGGAGCTCCAACTGGTATTAAATCAAAAGGCTTTGAGAAATGTTTGCATTGCTTGTTAATTTTTGCTGCATAATTTGATCAAATATGTAAAACATGTCCGTAGCACGTTAAACTGTGGTGCCATTGTATTAATATACAATTATTTGCTCAAAAGTTGCCCTTTTTTTTCCAATTTGCGTTTGAATATCTACATTTATTCTCATTCTTCTGTTTAATGGAATGCACAAACACAGCAGCGTGCCATCAAAGATGGCGTCTCCGAGGAGGTCATGTGACATTCATTGGTCTGTGGGAACTATGTATAGTTGTAAAAGAAGTAATGAGTAACGAGAAAAGTTACTTTTTAAAGTAAATTCCCAAACACTGCTTGTTTGTGACTTTGTCCTAAAAACTCCCAGAAAGTGTATTCACTCTGCTTCTGTCTCTGTATCTATGTAGTTTATTGATATGTCATTATTTTGATTAAATTATCTTATCTAGAGAAGAGCCGCATAGTTATTATAGCAACACACTCTTTACTCTTAGCAGTTAGCATGTGGTATTTCAAGTTGTATTCACCAGTTTTAGCACTTATTTAAAAGTGAGTAAATGTGAGTCATACCTTGTAAACTACTTACTTTTAATACATCTGGTGCATTCTGGTGAAATCTGCAGTCAAAACGACGGCTCTGGGAGTTCTAGTTGTTTCATAGATCTTGGAGTCAAACGGCTGTTCTGTTCAGCGGTGCATAACACTGAAGTATTGTCTCCTCACTCTTTCTCAGTGTGATTGTTTATTTATATAAATGCCATGTGTGACTATAACGTGTGTTGTTTGGTTTTGCCCTTCGAGTTCCTTGAGTATAAACTGTGCTATCCCAATAACCTTGCCTCTCCTGTGGGGCGGGCTGTGAGCGCAGAGCCTACTTCCTTATTCACCTGCTGTTAGAGTGTTACACCTGCGCCAAGAGGAAGGTGCACCTGCCCTGGGAATATGTCCGACAAACCCGTACCCTGCGACTTAATGCGCCCCTCTGACTCTCCCCCCGTGGACACCGCCATCAAAGCCAGCGATCAGCCGATTTTTAGCGTTTTAAGCAGCGGCGGTGTGAAGATGAAGGAGGCCCGTGTTCTCGCAGGACTAGACTGTACCGGCGGTGACGGTGGCTCTGCCCTGACCACAGACTCCGAGTCCGGGATCTTCTCCGGGGAATGCGAGCTCTGCGAGGACCACGAAGCGGAACTGGACTGGTTCTGTGACACGGAACAGAAGCTGGTCTGTTCCCACTGCGCCACCGTGGGCCCATGTCGAGCGCATGCACTCATACCGCTGTCCGCGAGGGTCTCCTCACTCAGGGTAAGGTTATCTGTATAGCACAGGTCATACACACACAGGGCAGCAGGGTATGGGTCTATTCTAATGTGATATGTGAAATAGATTCAAACGTGGGTGTTACAAGTTAGACTTAATCAACAATTACCACAAGAAACTAGACTAACTTAAGATGGCATAGGGAGGCTATAGGCAAGTTTAATTGTATATCACAGTGCATTCACAACTGGGTCTATCTGTTCTAATGTTAAGCATGTTGTTGATTTTTTATAGCAGTGTTTAGTAGTTTGACCTACTTGATCATCCATTTCCACAAGAAACTGAACCAATTCAGGAATACATACACAAAGGCAAGGCCAGGTTTATTTATAGAGCACAGTTCATATACTCAAAGAAGCATCAATATCAAATCCTATTTCTGATGTACACTTGAGCCTTTAGCCCTAAACTACTTCTAACTAACACTAAACATGTTCAAA